CGAGAAAAACCACATGATTATCTCAATAGATGCAGAAAGGGCCTTTGACAAAATTCAACAGCCCTTCATGCTAAAAACTCTCAATAAACTAGATACTGATAGAACGTATCTCAAAATAATAAAAACTATTTATGACAAACCCACAGCCAATATCATACTGAATGGGCAAAAACTGGAAGCATTTCCTTTGAAACCTGGCAAAAGACAGGGATACCCTCTCTCTCCACTCCTATTCAACATAGTGTTGGAAGTTCTGGCCAGGGCAATCAGGCAGGAGAAAGACATAAAGGGTATACGACAGGGAAAGAGGAAGTCAAATTGTTTCTGTTTGCAGATGACATGATTGTATATTTAGAAAACAACATCGTCTCAGCCCAAAATCTCCTTGAGCTGATAAGCAACTTCAGCAAAGTCTCAGGATACAAAATCAATGTGCAAAATCACAAGCATTCTTATACACGAATAACAGACAAACAGAGAACCAAATCATGACTGAACTCCCATTCACAATTGCTTCAAAGAGAATAAAATACGTAGGAATCCAACTTACCAGGGATGTGAAGGACCTCTTCAAGGAGAACTATAAACCACTGCTCAACAAAATAAAAGAGGACACAAACAAATGGAAAAACATTTCATGCTCATGGATAGGAAAAATCAATATTGTGAAAATGGCCATACTGCCCAAAGTAATTTATAGATTCAATGCCATCCCCATCAAGCTACCAATGACTTTCTTCACAGAATTGGAAAAAATTACTTTAAAGTTCATATGGAACCAAAAAGGAGCCCGCATTACCAGGACAATCCTAAGCCAAAAGAATAAAGGTGGAGGCATCACGCTACCTGACTTCAAACTATACTACAAGGCTACAGTAACCAAAACAGCATGGTACTGGTACCAAAACAAGAGATACAGACCAATGGAACAGAACAGAGCCCTCAGAAATAATACCACATATCTACAACCATCTGATCTTTGATAAACCTGACAAAAAAACCCCCCCAAAGGGGGAAAAAAAGCGGAGCAAAGATTGCCCTATTTACCGCCATAAGTGTGCTGGGAAAACTGGCTAGCCATATGTAGAACTAGCTGAACTGCGATCCCTCTCCTTACACCTGTATACAAAAATTACACATTCTAGATGGATTAAAGACTTAAATGTTAGATCTAAAACTATAAAACCCTCCAGAAGAAAACCCTAGGCAAATACCATTCAGCGACATAGGCATGGGCAAGGACTTCATATCTACAAACACAAAAGCAATGACAATGAAAAGCCAAAATTGACAAATGAGATCTAATTAAACTAAAGAGCTTCTGCACAGCAAAAGAAACTACCATCAGCAGTGAACGGCAACCTACAGACAGATGGGAGAAAATATTTGCAATCTACTCATCTGACAAAGGCTAATACCAGAATCCATAAATACACTCAAACAAATTTACACAAGGAAAAAAAAAACCCATCAAAAAGTGGGCCAAAGGATGAACAGACACTTCTCAAAAGCAGACATTTATGCAGCCAACAGACACATCGGAAAACTGCCTCATCATCACTAGCCATCAGAGAAATGCAATCAAACGACAATGAGATAGCTCTCACACCAATTAGAATGGCGATCATAAAATCAGAAACAACAGATGCCAGCGAGGATGTGGAGAAACAGGGAACACTTTTACACTGTTTGGCTGGGACGTGTAAACTAGTTCAACCTTGCCGGAAGACAGTGTGGCGATTCCTCAAGGACCTAGAACTAGAAATACCATTTGACCCAGTCATCCCATTAATGGGTATATACCCAAAGGATTATAAATCATGCTTCGTGCCTGTCGTGGGGTGGAGGGAGGGGGAGGGATAGCATTAGGAGACATACCTAATGTAAATGACGAGTTAATGGGTATAGCACACCAACATGGCACATGTATACATATGTAATACACCTGCACGCTGTGCACATGTACCCTAGAACTTAAAGTATAATACAAAAAAAAGTGTCACATCTGTAGCCATTGCATTGTGAATATTTTTTAAACTGAGGAAATATTCTTCCAGCATTCAAGAACTAATATGATTCAACAGGTAAGTTTCCCACATCACTGATGAATGGTTGAAGTTTTGACATAAGTCTTTGTTCTTTTGTTTTTGTCTTACTAGTCCAGCTAAAGGAAAATCTCAACCAACATTCATGTTGGAACTATTTCAGTCATCAATTGTAACTATAGATTGATTATTGACACAAGTGTTTGGCAAAACTCAATGAAAGCATTTTGTGACAATCAATTGGCTAAATGAAATTTGCAATAAAGAGTATTGTATATTTGGCTGAGCACAGTGGCTCACACCTGTAATCTCAGCACTTTGGCAAGTGGATCACTTGAGGTTGGGAGTTCGAGACCAGCCTGCCCAACAAGGTGAAACCCCGTCTCCACCAAAAATACAAAAAGTAGCCAGGCGTGGTGGCATGCACCTGTAATTCCACGTACTTGGGAGGCTGAGGCATGAGAATCACTTGAACCTGGGAACCAGATATTGCAGTGGGCCAAGATCATGCCACTGCACTCCAGCCTTGGTGACGGAGTGAGACTCTGTCTCAAAAAAAAAAAAAGTATTGTATATTTTATTATTATTTGCAAATTGCTCACTACACATTTCTTTTTAGTAAAGTTACTTGTTTCCGTGTGTGTGTGTGTGTATGTATGTTTTCTATATATAAATATGTTTCCAAATATATAGGGGTGTTTGTGCATATATATTTATATATATAATATATATTTTTATATATTGTATATATTTACATATACACACATATATATGTTTCCCATTTATATATATATTTCCATTATATATATGGAAACAAGTAAATATATATTATATGTATATTCAAACTTTTTTGGAGAGCAACTTCTTAAACATTTGCAAGTGTACCACTGCCTCCCGCTGAACAACTGCATAAGGCCAAAATTCAAATTCATGCCCCTGGATGTTAGAATCTGGCTAATGGAAATGGAATGGTAATAGAATTAGGGATGAGAATGAAGAAAGTGGGTATACACAACTGTTCGGGAAGTTTAAGAACACAGGAGGCAGTCGCTAGCAGTAGATTCAAGGTTGGGAGTTCGAGACCAGCCTGTCCAACATAGCGAAACCCCGTCTCTACCAAAAATACAAAAATTAGCCAGGCGTGGTGGTGTGCACCTGTAATTCCATGTACTCGGGAGGCTGAGACATAAGAATCATTAGAACCTGGGAGCCAGATGTTGCAGTGGGCTGAGATCAAAGAAGAATTTATAAAAGAAAGAAGATAAGAGAATGTATTATATGCTATCATTGGGAATGATCTAGTAAACAAGAGAAAGGTTGATAATAATGGAGAAATACATTATTAAAGGAATAAAATCCTTGAGAAGGTTGGAGGAAATAGGAGTAAAAGCATCAATGGAACTACTACAAACCTATTAGAATAGGCAAAATCCAGAGCACTAACAAAACTAAAAGCTGGTGAGTATGTGAAGCAACAAGGACTCGAAATCATTGGTAGTGGAAATGCAAACTAGTATAGCTGTTTGGGAAGACAGTTTAGCAGTTTCTTACAAAACAAAACTTATTCTTACTACATAATCCTTTACCCAGTGGAAACGAAAACTTATTTACACTCAAAAATCTGCACATGGATGTTTATAGCAGCTTTATTTACAGTTGCCCAAACTAGGAAGCAACCAAGATATCCTTCAGTAGGCAAATAAATAAACTGTGGTACATCCAGACAATGGAGTATTGTTTAGCACTAAAAACGAATGAACTATCAAACTATGAGAAGACATAGTGGAACCTTAAATGCATGTTACTAAGTGAAGAAAAGTCCATCTGAAAAGCCTATATATGATTCCAACTACATAACATTCTAGAAAAGCCAAAGCTACTAAGACAGTAAAAGATCACAGTGGTTGCTAAGAGCTTTGGGGAAGATGGGAAGATGACTAGGCAGAGCAAAGAGGATTTTTAGGGCAGTGAAAATACTCTGTGTGATAATATAATGATGGATATATGTCATTGTACATATGTTCAAACCCATAAAATGTGCAAGACCAGGAACGAACTGTAATGTAAGCTATGGACTTTGGATAATGATGTTATTATTAATTGTTTCTCACGAAATACTTGCTTTGAGTTTTGCCAAACTCTTGTGTCCGTAATCAACCTATGATTGCAATTGATGACTGAATTAGTTCCAACATGAATGTTGGTTGGGATTTTCCGTTAGCTGAGCTAATAAGACCAAAGCAAAACAACAAAGACATGTTAAAAACTTCAATCATTCATCAATGGAAGTTCATCAGTTACAGCAAATATACCACTTTGTGGGGAATGTTGATAGTAGCAGAGGCTATGCATGTGTCGGGGAAGGAAGTACGTGGGAAATCTCTGTACCTTCCTCTCATTTTTGTTGTGAATCTAAGTCAGCCCTAAAAAAGAATAAAGTCATAAATAAAAAAATTTTCCATTGCAGGGAAATTAGGGAGACAATCTGTATATTCATTAGAAGGTGGAGGGTAAGAGAGATACAATGGCAAGATTACCTTTAAGCTTCATTCTAAATCCTGAGGGGCTAAGATTTAGATATGAGAAATATAAAAGCCGTTTGGCTTCTACAAATTGGGCACATTTCAACTATAAGTATATCTAAAAGCATTCTGAAGTTAGTGTTCCTGATTTTCAAGCTGCTTTTTTCATTTTAAGTGTTTAGTGACCATTTATAGAAGTTCCAAATTTTGCAGAAAACAGCAAAATAACGAGCAAGCTTTTCTTTTGCTAATACTTTCTTGCAATACTCAAAAATGAGGATTCTATTTCCTCTCTGTGTATATATTTGGGAATAAGTTACACATCACTGCTGCTGTTGCAGCTGCTGTTCCTCACGGTAGACAAAGTTTTCCAAGGCAGAGGGAGGCCAGCTGAGGGTAGCACCTCTGGTAAGAAAGTTTTAAAATGTCTTACTTGTTACACCAATAAGAGTTGTAATGGCCAGATCCTGGAACAGAAACTGGTAATTTGAAAGGCTGTTTGTCTCCTGAAAATGAAAAGAAAGCAGATCAAAAAAGTTGTGACCTTCGGGATGAAATTAGATGCTGATTACATTTATTTTCTCACTGCGACATAGGGTTCTTCAAGTAAATTACTGTGGAGATGCTGTGGTCAGGGCCTGGTTGAGTTGGTGAGTGATGGTGTTGGTGGAAGTAATCAAAGCCAAACCTGTGAAACCCTCTCTATCTAGGAGGCCTATCATCATGTACTTTCAGGGTGAGATTGTTTGTGCATCCGTATTACTTTGTTGAGGAGGATGTCTTCCCCTACCAGATTCATCTCTGCTCTCTTTTCTACTTGTTAACAGAAAAAACAGGATTTCATCTCACACAATAAAAGAATACATCCCCAAGTGACAAATGTGTGGTAATCTTACATAAATTTTACTGATGGAAAATAAGAATAAGTAAACCCACTATTTGCATTCTTGAATGTTTTTAGACAAAATGTTAGAAAATCCTAGCAAAGCATCTTAATACTCTTGAGGAAAAAGTGTTCAGGTCTTACTGATTTTAAGAAACTCACTTTCTTGCTCCCCACCCCTTAGTGGAAAGGAGATAATATTCAATGTTTAATTCTACCTTTGAGAATAATTTGGGAATTCTAAAATAGAGCCCAATTTCTATAAATAGCCTATCCTTCTCTAGTCCGTTTATCAGTGAGTAGGAAAAGGTATATATATCTTTTCCTACTCACTGATATATATATTTCAGATATATATATCTGAAAGCAATAGGACTAAAACCTTTAACCCAGGAAAAAGAAGGCAGTATATAAAGATGAATCTGGATATCTGCCACACAGATATCCAGATGAAATTTCTTTTATTGGTGTTGGTTAATAGGATAATCTCACATGTTGAGTTCACAGATGATGGGCATGTTTTTTTCTCCTCTTATATCTTGTTAAATAACAAAAGTGATCACAAGACCTATGTATTTTTTGTGGTATGATATGCCAGTTTTCACATCCCTATATTCAGGGAACCAGTGGCATGCTGGCTTATACTAACACTTAAAAGTCAATTGCTAAATTTTCAGAGATGTTGTGAGCCGATTGTTAAATAAAGCCGATATAAAAACTTAAATTATACAAGCGTACCATTAAATAAATTATACTAAAGCCAAAGTTAATAAATACTCAAAGCTCAGCACTTTCTAAATATTTTTCTACATTTTACTGTATTCTGTGCCCTTGAGGTTATTTACAACTTTTGTATCTATATGGGGCAAGTAGAATCATATGCTACTGTACATCTTTCCCCACTTCATGTTCAGTGACAATGGACAGACAGCTTGAAACTGGTTTTGGTAGGAGTATTGACACCACTGAAATGGGCATAAATTAATTATCAGGTCTTTTTTTCATGCTAAATGAAGCATTTAGCAGCACCCTGATGCAGAGAACCATTTCTTTATTGAGTGGTAGACTAGGGTAGAGCCACATTGGAATTAAGAAGATAAAGACCTTGTCCAATCAGGTAAAAGTAGCAGCAAGAGAAAAAGCAATATATTCAGTTGTGATCCTCAGCTATTACTAGATAAAAGGTTTCTATATCAGAGAATTGACATCAGCAACCTTTCCTGTGCAAATCCATTTCTGATTTACTTAAAAAATTCTTAAGGATATTTTTGGAGGGGCTATTGTTGTGCAGATATCCTATTTGTACTCTTTCTTTGAGACGCATTGTAAATTGAGAGTGCATTGCTACTTGTTTTAGTTCACACTAACCACGAGGCTAAGTCCCAAGTCATACCCAGTAGAGCAGCAGAACACCAACATACTGAATCATGCTGTACAGAGCCATGTACTTAAACATGCAAAAGGAGGTAACGAGAGCTGCACGTCCTTCCCTGTGTAAGAAAACAGATGATAAAGACGTGAAAGTAATGAAAAGACATAAGGTCAGTCATTCTGTGCTGTTCAGCAAAGCTCAGGAGAAAAAAAATCCAAAGTCATTATACAACTGTTTGTCTGAAAATGGACATCCCTGAGCTCGTGGATGCAGGCTGTCAGTAAACTAAACAACCCAATTTTCAAGAAGGCCAATTCCAGGCCAAGGTCCAAGGTCCTTGAACTGGTGATGGAGTCCAGATTTACAGTTGCTCTTGTCCTTTCAGCAGGCAATGTTTTAACTCCTAAACTCAGTGGAGCTAGTGCCAGATCTTCTACCTACTCACTAATGTGATGCAGAAGATCATTTCCCTTGTCTCAGTTTCTTCATCTGTGAACTAATGGATTTAAATAAAATTGCAGATTCAGGGGTTATTTTCATACAGGAGCTTCAGGAGCTTGGCAAACATTTGATTCAAATTTCATTTTGGCAGTCCCAACTTTTTCTAAAACTGGACCGAAACAATATACACACTCAAATTAGTCATATATCAAATTGAAATGGGCTGGAAAGGATGAGCATTTTCATCTCTGTTATCGTTGATTGATTGAGTAAATAGTACACATTTAAAGCATGAAATAGATGACATATGAAATGTCACTTTTAACTTCTATTTCATTCGGGGAAAAATAGAGTTTAAGTTACACTTTTTAAATTTAAATTATACTTTTTTTTTTTTCCAACAGGGTCTTGCTCAGTCACCCAGGCTGGAGTGTAGTGGCCTGATCTCAGCTCACTGCAACCTCCGCCTCCAAGGTTCAAGTGATTCTCCTGCCTCAGCCTCCTGAGTAGCTGGGACCACAGGCATGCGCCACCAGGTCTAACTAAATTTTTTTGTATGTTTAGTAGAGACTGGATTTCACCATGTTGGCCAGGTTGGTCTCGAACTCCTGACGTCAAGTGATGCACCCACCTCGGCCTCCCAAAGTGCTGGGATTACAGGCATCAGCCACCACACCCAGCCTAGATCATACTTCTTTAAGTTTAAACTCATGCCCATTATGGTGTCCTGGGGTGTTAAAACCTGATCCTCAAACCAGGTTTTTTTCTGTATCAGAGTTTTGCCATGACATTTCCTCTGCCCAGAGGTAGTTTCTCCTTATCGCTTAGAGAGGTTCTCTAAGGTTCTCTGCCCAGAGGTAGTTTCTCCTTATTGCTTAGAGATGTTCTCTAAGCAATAAAGAGAGGTTCTCCTAAGAGAGGTTTTCCCGTACCACCCCATCTGAAGCAGCTGCTTCCACCTATATAGCCATCTTATTCCCTTTACCCTTTTTATTTCCTGGACAGCACCTATCAAAATCAGTAAGTATCATCTTTATCTCCCTTAGTTTCTGGCACTAAATGCCTACTCACTAAACATTTGTCAAATGCATGAATAAATAAAAAATTTGGAGGACCTAGCCAAATTATTATTTTCATGTGGTGGAAATAGTATATCTGTAGATAAAATACACTTGAATAAAATTAATTCTAAAATAATGTCTAACCTCATATGGTTGTATGAGCTTGGGCACATCAGTTAAATTTTCTGAACTTCAATTTTTTTATTTGTTAAAAAAAAAATAGCCATTCCTGCATCTCCAGGCTGTTTTGAAGTGTGAGATGGTAGGCATTATAGCATTTTAAAACTAGAAACACATGTCAGTTACAATAATCAAGAGCAGCCACCATGCTCACTATCTCTAGCATTCAAATATAATGGAGCAGAAGTACATTTTTGGCAGGGTGGCAGGGAGAGCATCAAAGCAAATTTTAGTGAGAGCAGCAAAAGCCAATAAAGATTTTCAAAACATTATTTTTCAAATAAAGATGGAAAGGAGATAGATACATTTGAAAAATGAGGATGATTGACACTTTCAAAGCCATAACAAGTTCCAGATTCCAATCTTCTAAAATTAACCTCATCAGTGAATTCGCTGGAAATGCCGCTGCTCTCCAAATGTTACTTTTAACTTCTGGAAAACCCATTTGGAAGTAGCATGCTTGGCTGCATTCTTCTACAGAGCACCCTCCCCACCCAGGGACACCGAGTTTCTCTGGTCTTTCCCAGGCAGAACAATGTGATTTGTACCAGAAGTCAAGAGAGAGAAAGCAATGTTTGAGGAAGTGCCTACTTACTTGATAAGGTGAGGTACGCACTCAATGTTTGGAGTTTTGGAAGTGAAAGGTGAGGCCACAGATGCCTCCTGCTCTGATAAAGAGATGCCCACATGAGCCATTTTCAGAGCCTGAAAGCAAAGAATCAGCTTACTTCCCACATAGACTCACATATGTCTCTACTAAAGCCTCATAAGAAAAGGCCAGTTAAGCTGGCCACAAGGTGCTTTGTGTGCCCAAACTCTAACCAAGAGACTTAACCCTGCCTGGAACATAAAAGAAGGTATTAGGATACCTAACCAAAGAAATGAGAACCCTAGAACCAAATTCTACCCCATGTAGCCTAAACTAACCATTGAATCAACGTGTGACTTTGGTCAAAAGCCTCCCAATGCAACAGTTTATCTATCAAGAGGAATGGAAATGATATATACGCCAGGAGTACTACCTCTAAAGGGCTTGAGTATAACTGAATGTGAGATTATGGCCACACACACTGGCAGCTGCTTACCCCACAGTCATTGGCTCCGTCACCACACATACCTACAAAGTAACTAAGAGGGAAACACATTAATTGTAGATGAGATCAAAGCTATCCGCTAATTTCTCTAATCAAAAAAAAAAAAAAAAGTAACCATCACTACTCAGGGTTCAAACCATTATTTAAGGGAAATTTCCTAAGAGTCTAGTTTGACTGAAAACAGTGTGATTCAGCAGTTTATACAATGGATTTAGAGATTCAGAACATGATTCCTTTACTGTAAGTGTTTCATGTAGACACTGCACATCACTGCGTAGGGAGAGCTTTCTCAGCTGTCAGACAGAGGCACTCACAATTCTATGATGTAAGCATGGCATGGCAGAGAGGGCACAGGATTTGAAACCAAATCTAGATTTTGACCTGGTCATCTTACCATTTTCACTATTATTATTCCCATCATTATTATTATTTTGCCTATAAAGGGCTATGAGTATTAAATGAGGTGCTGTATGGCAAAGTACTTATAAAGTCTAAAATGATAACAAGTCATAGTTGTTTGTGCTGTTAATACTAGCATGAGAGGAAATCCACCCTGTCAACAGTCACTCAACTCAAGTATGTAATGTCAGGCCTAGAAGTTGAAGACAGAAAACACATCCCTGTTTCAGAATGGCTTTCTGAGGCTGGGTGAATACTCTCTTGAATCATTGACAAGGATTAGGGATAGCCAGCTTTTTAAATTATGAGCATTCTGACAGCATTCACAGAACATGCTATACTTTTCTTCCACACTGCCATATGGAAGTAACTCGTTGACTCTCTAGGTTTCAGTCATGTTGAAAAGACAGGGCTTTCTGAACTGAGAAGCTAGCCTGATAATGGAGTCAAATGAATAGGACGTCAGAGTAGAAACGAGTAGGAGTTGGAGTCATGTTGTTGTGACATGGGGACCAAAGTGGAGAAAGGCTCTGGTACTCTGTGGGGTTCTATTAACAGGAAAGAAAGGGTCCCGAATGACAGGCACTTCATTTGGACTGCCCATTCTGTCTAGGAAAGGAGACCCTTTGTGTTAGGAGAGAAGAATTTTTCTGATTTAGGATGGAAAAATGCTTTGGCACACAAATATTTTAGTCTTTTTAGTGTTACATGAATCTCATATGAATGTCCCTATATCATCATTGTGATGAGAGCATATGCAAATAAAGTCTAAATACTCATTGTCCCCCCAGGAGCTGAGCTCAAGCCACCTTTCCATTCGTATTTCTCCCCATACTCTTTCAGGCCCCTTAGGTTCTAGTCCAGTGATTCTCAATACTGAATGCAAAATTGACTTATGTGAAAAAACAATACTGATTTTTCAAGCCCCGTATAAACAACTGAATCAGGATCTCTGAATGGTGAGATCCCTTGGTATTGCTACTTTTCCAAAGCTCCTAAGTGATTATCTCATGCAGCCAGACTAAGGACCAGTGCCCTTGCCAAACCGAGTGACTCCCTGTACCTCTTCCACTCCCCCTGACTGTTATGCCTCCATGCAGTTCATGCCACCTGCACTGGCAAAGAACCTACTCCAGTTTCTGAAATTCTTCCACCAGACTGGACTTCTGCCCGGGAGACATTCTTGCAAAGATGGTCCCATTGATCAGTATCTGTAAGGAACCCAAAATGGAGATTTTTTTTTTTAATCAAGTCAGCTGGTTGTACATGAAATAATTAATAACACTAAGAATGTTGACTGCATCATGACACTCATGATGAAGAAAAAAAAAAGTTTCCAATGAGCCTTCCTTTGGATTTTAAGACAAACATTGAGGTTCTGGTCATCAGATAAATGATCAGTGAAAAACAAAAATCAGTAAAGATAATTACTTAACAAAAAATATTTTATGAAAATGATGACCTACAGGAATTTACCTCAGCTGTCATGGGGAATGTGGTCCTGAAAATTCTTGAGCTTAATGGAACCTTGAACTGCAAAACAGCAAGATACATAGTTATCTTGAGAGATAACTATGTATCTAAAACTTACCTCCCCCAACTAAAGCTTTAAGTTCAACCCTCTTGAGTACTGAGGTCATCTATCAAAAAACAAATGGCATTCCCTTATTCTTGGTCTGCCTTCCTGTATAATTGCAGGATTTCCACTATACTTTGAGACTCCTTACCATGGCAATATAGTGACAGCCACCCAAAATCATCTTTATAATTCAAGAAATCACTGATACTTCAATCGTATAGATGGTAGAAAATTGACTAGTCAAGTTTATTTATTTCAAACCTAGTAGGAAACGAGACAATAGTATCCTCTGCAAAAATATCTGTCTCTCTTAAGATACAGAGAACTCACTGAGTATATTTTTCCTGTTTCAAGATTTGAAATAATGTAGGACCATGCTCTGTAAGTGACGTCATCAGCATTTTCACAGGGAGACTGTCACCCTCTTAGAACTTACCTTTGGCAGTAGGCTGCTAAAATGTTGACTTATAACATGAAAGGATTTTCCAGTTAGGGCAAAATGGTAACTTCCTTCTCTGCCATTATCAGAGACTTCATCCCTGATGTTAATGTAATTGTCCTACGAAGCAAGACACAGTGATTTTAGACTCTTTCATTTGACAGAGTGGTTAGAACCACAAGCATATCTGAGAGAAGATAACGAAGACAGACCAGGATCTATCTGTAAAAGTCACTCTGAGTCCTCAGAGAAGCATTTTCTCTTTGCTGGATCAATCTTTGCACATCACAGACAACTAGTGAATAGGAGCATAACACTTACTCATGTCCTGTTTTCATCGTGATTTGATCTTGGTGAGTCCCAGAGAAGAGCACATTTCACACATTTCAAGTGTAAAATACAAAAGCACTGCAGCTTAACAAATTTCTCCCTGAAATGAGAACTTACTATTTTTTTTCCTTAGGGAACTAATATTGTTCTACAAGGACACAATGGAGACAGAATACTGACAAGGCTGGAGATAAATGAATGAAACTTTTTTCTGAAAACATAGTCTGATTTTCTGAGACACACAGCAGCATCTCTCCCAAAGACTAGATCCCCTTTGAACCCAGTGGGGTGATTGACAAGCAAAGGGAAAGGCAGAAAATAGATTCAGCTCCACTCACTATATTCGGTCTCATACAGGGCCCACCATTTTTTTTAAGTTTAAAAGATGGATTATTTCCAGCACACAAGAAAGCACTATACCTTCAAGCTCAGTATGAAAAGTATGGAAAAACCAATGTAATTGAGTTCATTCAACAGCATGAATGCTAGACATTTGGAAGCATATGTTGACTCTCAGTCAAAGCTGTTCAGTCACCAACACTGCAAGACATGTTGGTAATGTAGCAGAATGTCTGTGTTCAGGAGTACCTGATTCCCATACGTAATGTGTTTCTTCTCTTCTACTAATGTCCAAGATATAGATGCTGATGAGGACCCGTTGGTTTCATTTGCCTCAATGAGAATGACTTTCTGGTTTTCAGAAACCATTCCAGATTTTCTGGCCACTGTTATTGCAGTCTGAAGATTGTCACCTAGAGGAAAGGAGGAGTATCTCAAGATGAGATTGATGAGATTGAATTAATTCATGCAGAGCCTTGAAAATCAGAGCAGGGAGTTCAGTCCTTATTTCAGGTATGAAGAGAAATGATCTCTAATATCTTTTTCAGCCCTGACCTTCTGTGACTCCATGATCCCTTTTCCCCTTCTTACTGCTTTTCATCAGGTTACTTCTTGATCCACCAGTGTATTTTTGCCAGACTGGGGGAAAAAATAAAAAAGCAAAATTCAAATCTATTTTCGTCATTTGTTAGCAGCTTTGCAAATGTTTAGGCAAATCCTCTGGTTTAGTAGAGTATCTGGTGGCTCCACTTCCAGGCAAAATGGAGTAAGCCCACTACGATCTATCTCGCCCACTGATTATAATGGAAAACTCTGAACAAAAACCAAGAAGCAACTCCCTAAGGACTTTGAAAAGTAAACAAAAGCAGGCAGATGGTGGAAGGCAGTCAAATTTGCAGAAGCAACCTACAAGGGGATGAGTTTCTCGACTTTTTTTCTCCTCCCTATTCCATATTTGACTGGCGCGTGGGCCTCAGTTAAAAAGCTGTTTGGGCAGCAGAACTCTAAAAGATGCCCAGTCTTTCTGGCCAGAAGAGCCAGGAAAAGGGACTCTTGTAGGCTAAAGGGCATGGGCGGAATCCTGGAAAGGAGAGAGCCAGACATGGGGACTAATTCAGTATGTGAATTACGTAAGTCCCAAGTTCAGTCTAGAGCTGTGCATGTGTGGACCAGATCCAAAGAAAGATAACAAAAATTCCAGGAATTGAACTATGATATAAATCACCCCCCATTTGTGAGAGTAACCTCTGAGTGAGGCAGACCCAAACATCACAGCAAAAGATTTTATATTTAAGCTAAGATTGAAACTGCCACCTACAACAGGAAAGACAGAACTTACAGTTGATTGTTAGCCAGACAAACAAGAAAACCCTCAACATTCTCCAGAAGATTTTAACAGGATTCAAAGTTTCACAACATAATACTCAAAATGTTTGGGATATTCAATATGAAAAATCTGGAAAATCTGGCCAATTCTCAAGAAAAGCCACAACAGTTGCCAATCTATAGATAGTCTAGATGTTGGAAGTGTCAGATAATGGTTTTTAAAGCAGCTATTGTAAGACCCCTTCATGTGGTAACTGTTAATATTCTTGAAATGAAAGCTAGAAGTTCTCAACAAGAAAATAGAAACTGTGGGAAAAAACCAAATGGATACTTGAGAATTAAAAAATATAATACCTGAAATTTAAAAAAAAAAAATCACTGAATGTACTCAATAGCAGAATAGATCAATGGAAATTACACAACCTGAAGAGCAGAGAGAAAAAAATCATTTTAGTGAACAGACTCAAAGATATCCAAATAATTCATACTCACGTCATTAGAGTCCAAGAAGATGAGGAAAAAAGTTGAAAAAGAAAAAAAATTGACAAAATCATAGGAGAAATTTTCCCAAGTATGATAAAAGACCTAAATATACAGATTCAAGAAGTTCAGTGAATTCCAAACAAGACAAACTGAGTGAGAATCACAACCAGACACATAGTAATCAAACTGCTAAAAATCAAAGATAAACAAAAAAAGCAGTTAGAGAAACCCACATTACATATAAGAAAACAATAATTCAAATTATCACAGATTTCTCATAAAAAATACGCAGGGAAGAAAATAGTGGAACATCTTTGAAGTGCTGACTTCATCTTTCACTTTGAAGTGTCAATTCTGACTCCTATAATAGCTGCTGAAAATATCCTTCAGGAATAAAGGAGAGAGAAAGACTTTATCAGATGAAGGAAAATGAAGATAATTTGTTGACAGTGGACATGCTCAAAAAATAAACAACAACAACAAAAGCTACAGGGTTCTTTAGGTTGAAATGAAAGGAAATGATACCAGAGGTTAACTTACAAGTTAAGGAATGAAAACATAGAAATGATAACGATCTGGATAATTATAAAAGTCTAATTTTCTTTACTCACGTTCCTTAACTCTTCACTGTTGAAAGTAACGACTATCACATTATCTGGTGGGAGTTTTCGACATATGTCATACTTATGACAATAATAACATAAAGAAGAGAAAGCAAGAGACATTCCTGGTTATAAGGCTTCTTGAAAGGAGAGGTATGTACGTTGTGATGCCTACAGCAACCATTAAAAAATTAATCATATAATATCTGGCTGGCTATCCTTAACATAGCTTCTCCCAGGTTTCTACCAAAATATGCATGAAGATCCTCAAAAGAGCTGAAGTAGTGGGAAGGAGCTGCCTGAGGCTGGAAGGATACAGGGAGCCTTGAGTGCTCACAGGTTTCCTTCATGCTCCACAGCAGGCCCCTGACAGCCTGTCTGCTTTTTGCCCTCCACCACCTGTGAGAGATCTACCACCTGTAAGAGATCCAGTTCTCGGGATAAACAGCCCAGGCCTCAACTCCAAGCATCTGACAGAAAAATCTAACAACCTTTCCAAGAAAGCCGAGACACTGGACAGGAAAAGATCAGGAAGAACAATCAGAGCACATGACTAGAGAAGTCATGTGCACTGGCCAAGCGCAGTAGCTCACACCTGTAATCTCAGCACGTTGGGAGGCCGAGGTAGGCAGATCACGAGATCGAGACCATCCTGGCCAACATGGTGAAACCCTGTCTCTACTAAAAATATAAAAATTAGCCAGGCGTGGCGGTGCGTGCCTGTAATCCCAGCTACTTGGGAGACTGAAGCAGGAGAATCCCTTGAACCAGGAAGGCAGAGGTTGCAGTGAGCCAAGAACGCACCACTGCACTCCAGCCCTAGTGACAGGGTGACACTCCATCTCAAAAATATGTATATAAAAAATATATATATAAATAAAGCACTGGCCGGGTGCAGTGGCTCATGCCTATAATCCCAGCACTTTGGGAAGCCAAGGCAGTAGGATCACTTGAGGTCAGGAGTTTGAGACTATCCTGGCCAACATGGTGAAACCCCGTCTCTACTAAAAATACAAAAATTAGCTGGGCATGGTGGTGCACACCTGTAGTCCCAGCTGCTTGGGAGGCAGAGGCAGGAGAATCACTTGAACCCAGGAGGCGGAGGTTGCAGTGAGCCAAGATCATGTCACTGCACTCCAGCCTGGTGACAGAGCGAGACTCCATCTCAAAAAATAAATAAAAATAAAAAATAAATAAGGAGAGCACTTAAGAAAACTCAAATCCCACCCCACACATGATTAAGAACTGAACAATTCAAAAGGGGATTTGAAAAAGATAAAGAGCATTGTTGAGACCTGAGATTGTGGTTTGAACAAACTGGGTGCAAAAAAAAAAAAAAGTCTTAAAGCAAAATTATAAAACTATATAATCTAAAGCAAGGAACAGTGGTGCATGCCTGCAGTCCCAGTTACTGAGGAGGCTTAGGCAGGAGGATTGCTTGAGCCCAGGAGTTCAAGGCTGAAGTGAGCTATGATCCTGCCACTGCATTGTAGCCTGGGCAACAGAGCAAGACTCTGTCTCTAAAAAATAAATAAATAAATAAATAAATAAATAAATAAATAAATAAATAAGACAACTACAAGAAAAACGGACAGACTGAGAGGAGAGATAACAATGGAAATTCCAGAAGTAAAAATGGACAGAGACCAGAGGCAAAAATTAAATAAACAATAGGAAAATTTTTTCTCGCAGGAAGAAAGATTAAAAGGTGCTCTCAATGTTTCTCCCACTCCTATCTCTTCTTAATTCTGGGGAACTCTGGTTCTAATCACTGGTTTCCAGAGATTGATTTGAAAGCCTTGGGTCACAGAAAGAAGCAACAAGAAACTCTCATCAACTCAAAACTTTTTAAGTGAACGAATCATCATAAAATTGGTCCATTCAGAGGATAGAGTTGAGTCCATTAAGTTATTGTCACAAGGGGTTGTGTATTTGGTGATTCAGTTATATAAACCAATGCTCTTGCTATGAATATAATACTTTTCATAATCTGTTTTATCATATGTATAACATTCAAAGTGACAGATATTATGACTTAAAGATGTCAAAAATGGTAAAAAATAAAATAAATAAAAGTTTTTCTAAAAGTGCTGTCCATGTTCCAGACTAAGTTAATGAAACAAGGGAAACACAAAGGCAAACATTTCTAAATTCCAAAGTTAAAAAGTTTATGTGCAGAAAAGAATAAGTTACTTACAATGGACTCTCACTGGACTTGTCGTGAGCAGTATCAGAAGCCAGAAGGCAAAGGAATAGCCTCTACATACAGATCATTAAGAAAAAAGAACAATAATTCAGGAATCTTTTATCTGAGCAAGATGTCATTCACGTGTCAGAGCAAGGAAAGATATTCAAGCATGTGTAAGAAATCAAAGAGCACCCCTCCATTCCATCCAAGGGCAATATTTGAGGGAAAACAATTGTAAACAAGCAAGGAAAGAAATAGAGCAGAAATTTCAATATGAGAAAAGAGGAAGTAAAGAGAGAGGGTGGAGAAGGATGAACACTTGTACAGAAATCTAAGTTAAGGATAGATTATGAGAATGTGTCATCTAAGTGCTAAATAAAGATTTTTGAAACAGAAGGGTCACAGTGTAAGGGAAATCCTAATCAATAGTAAATGAACTCAGCAACTTCAAAAAGTTGGACTGGGTTGTTAGAAAAGGAGAAAGTAAAAACAGTCCAAGACACTCTTGGATTGTGGGGAGTAGAACAGGGGACAGAGAAGTACAAAAGAGGAAATAAAAGTATTCTAGAGTTTGCAGCTATAGAATTGGGTTCAGGGGAAGTGGGAACAGAAAGTGCGTGCTTTGATGGGGAAATAATGTATCTTCAAGACATAAATGATAGAGTTAAAAGCATCTGACTATAAGAGCAGGCAGAAGAAAGGCAACACACTGCAAAAATATGAACGTGAATTCATTAGGAAATCATTTATTCACCTCTAGTCTCTTTCCCAATTAAAAAATTATAGCATCAGCATGAAATTTCATTAATAAAGTCACACTTGATTTCATTAAGAAATTTCACACATTTCTCTTGTGTGATTGATTCTCATTGCTATCTTGTTTGTATGATCTGGAGCTGGGATTGGGAGTACAGAGGACAGCATTTTCTTTAATTTCTAGAATCGTGGATTTTATGATTGATGAGCCTTCAGCATATTTATAGACCCCATCAACTGAGGATGCTTCTTCTTCTAGCATTTGGCAATAAAAATCACCTTTGCCTGGCTCATGTCTTCTTGTCATTCAGGTCTTATTTCAAATGTCACTTCTCAGAGAGGCCTCTCTTAACCAACTCATCTCAAACAGATGGTCAAACACACTTTCCCGCATTATCCTATTTGTGTACCTCAAAACGCTGATACTATTTGACTGGTTGGTTGATTTTCTCTCATTCCACTGACATGGAAACTCTGGGAAAGCAGTAATTGTGCCTTTTTGTTGCCCATCTCCAGCACCTGGAATGGTGTCTGGCCCAGAGTAGGTCGTCAACAATATTTATTAAATGAGTGAATCGTGTCTATTTCCACATCAAATTCTTACTGTTTTCACCATATACTTTGTTTTATACCTGTGATCATTACAGTCCTTATCTGGGCTGAGATGAGCTCTTCCAAGACAGGTTTTGTCTCTTCCTTCAATCGATTCTCCAAGATCAGCAGCCCCAGAAATATCAGGTCTGATTCGACCGTCTCCCTGAAAATACATATATAGATGTATGGAACAGAAATAACACACATTGTAGCTTTTTTTTTTTTTTTTTTGAGACAGAGTCTCGCTCTGTCATCGAGGCTGGAGGACAGTGGTTCAAGTGATTCTCCTGCCTCAGCTTCCCAAGTAGCTGGGATTATAGGTGCCCACCACCACGCCCGGCTAATTTTTGTATTTTTAATAGAGACAGGGTTTCACCATGTTGGTCAGGCTGGTCTTGAACTCCTGAATTCAAGGCCTTGGCCTCCCAAAGTGCTGGAATTACAGGCGTGAGCCACTGCACCCAGCCACATGATAGCTTTCCTACAGGAAGTAAAACAAAAAGAAAAAGACCTCTGTCGTAGTGTTCCATTCACTCATTCAAGCACTGTTAGGTGCTGATTAGGGACCAGGAGTGATTCAGAAAGAGGACAGGAGGGGACACAAAGGCTCTGGAGACGTTTACTCTAACTGAATGAAGAGGAAGAGGAAGAGAGTGTTTGTTAAGCAAAAGCTTTGCTTTAACCTTTGCAGAAAATGAGCTAAAAGCCCGTAAGGGTCTCCTCCATCTGTTGTGGCTAGGCTGATTTTCACTGCCTCACCTGTTACCCACAAAGGGGAGCTTTAGCTCTGGCACAAAGCATGAAAAATAAGGGAGGCACAAAGAAAAATAAAATAAAATGCCAGTTTCTCCAGCAGCCAAGTCTATAATCAATATTATTTTAGCCCCAGGAGATATGAGGTCATAATCTCAACAAACAGGCCTCTCTATTCAGGTCAAGCTCATCCCTTTCTTTCTCCCCTAGCTGGTGGCAATGATCTTCTGCATCAAGCGTGAATGTTTCTGCAAATAGGTGCAGTCTTCAAGGCTCCTACCCACCCCACAAATATTTTCAGGGGTATTCTACAGAACTGAGTGCAGGGGAATCCATTTGAGAACAGGAGTTCAAAGATTCTTCCATGATTTATTTATCTTAGACACAGATAGAGAACAAGACACCAGCACTGTCTAACTCTGGCTGAAACACAGATGAAAGCGGCACCCACTCAGACTCCCTGCCTGTCTCCGTAGGGGGTCTCACATCAGCTACGGTCATGAACTAGCATTAGTGGTGCTCCCAGGAAACTGCTAAAGCCTCCATGGAGAAACGGGAAGTGGACGCAGTCTGAACGACTCACCTCAGAGCAGGCTTGAAAGGATGGCATTTCCCATTTTCTGAACCTGTCATTTAAATCTCTCTATGATCTGGTTCCAAACTATCTTTCCAGCTTCAGCCATCACTAAATTCCTCACCCACCCTCATTTCCAGCCAAGCTGAACCACTAGCCATGGGTTTTCTCTCAACCATCTCTAGACACTTGCTTTAGACTGCTGTAAGACATGTGTCTTTATTTCCTAGAAAAGGTTGTAATTTCCCCATGATCTGCTACTGAAACCCTCCTGACATTCGGAGCCTCATGCCACGTCCCCCACAAAGGCTTCCTCAGCTAGAAATCATTGCTCCCGGCCAGGCGCAGTGGCTCATGCTTGTAATCCCAGCACTTTGGGAGGCCGAGGCGGGTGGATCACCTGAGGTCAGGAGTTCGAGACCAGCCTGACCAACATGGAGAAGCCCTGTCTCTACTAAAAATACAAAATTAGCCGGGCGTGGTGCCAGGTGCCTGTAATCCCAGCTACTCGGGAGGCTGAGGCAGGAGAATCGCTTGAATCCAGGAAGTGGAGGTTGCAGTGAGCCAAGATCATGCCATTGCACTTCAGCCTGGGCAATAAGAACGAAACCCTGTCTCAAAATTATAATAATAATAATAATAATAATAATAATTGCTCCCTTGGCATATTACTTGTATTTCAGTGTAACTCACATTTTATTTGCCCATGTTTTATTCTTGGCCGTCTGCTTTGTCACGCTGTCTCAGCTCCTTGAGAACAATACCACGTGACTCAGTGTGTTCAACACCACCCACGTGCAAGTGCTCAGCAAATGTGTACCTAGTTGAAATGCCCTGAGGCCTGTTGGGACCATTTTTTGCCAGGTAACCTATGGAAATTCCTCATCCAGAAATTCTGCTGAGTTCAAGGAACAGCACTGAGGAAAAGTGGAACAGAATATGCAGAGACTGCAGTAGCAGAGACTATAGTAGCCTCTCACTCCAGATTTTACATCCAACTGGGAGGCAGAATTTAGACATGGCTCATCTCAGTTGAGTGGAAGGCTGGGAAAAGTATGATAACAGATGTCCAAATCAGAGTCCCATAGAGTCAGAGAGGAGGGTGCAATCATTTCTGGGTGGAGTGATTGGAGAGGCTTCCTGTAGAATATGATATTTAATCTGGTGTTTGAAAGATAACTTGGTTGATGCCTGATTGAGGTCTTACAGGGTAAATGCACGTGGTAGCAGTAACTACTTAAACATACCCTTAGAATGACCCTCTATGGCAGATGCACCTAAATGTATGTTTCAAGCTAGGAAATCTGGCCATGGCCAACCCAGAGATTTGTTCCTTGTCTCTGAGGAACTTCTGAGCCCCCGTTCCGTCTAGTGGGACATATGCCAGGCCATACAGGGAGCTGAGGCCCTGAGATGTGAGTTGGATGAAGGTTGCTGGGTGGAGGTCATTAAGGAGTCAAGTGAGAACGCTATGCAAACTGCATGATGTTTGCAGGCAGAGGTGGTTTTCCTGCACAGCTCACCACCACTGGAGTATAGGAAGGCAGATACGTTGTCCACTTTGCTGCCACTGGACTGTTTCCACATGTAAGGTGGTTCTCCTGTCCAGCCCGCTGTTACTGGACTCTCTCCCCTGTAGGTGAGCCCCTAATAAAACTCCATGTCTCATTTGCTGGCTCTGGGTCTCTTCTTCAACCTCTTGAACCTGGTGCCTTCCCTACTGAAGTCAATGGGGGTTTGGCACAACAGGTCTTCCAATCTTTCTCATGATCCTGGTACTCAGGTCCCAGGTCTTGGTTATTTCTGCAGATGACATGACCTGAGCCTACCACAAAGTGCCAGGTTAGGCCAAGAAAATGGCTGCGGGGTCAAACATCTGCCATAGCCTATGGCCTACCTTGGCACTAGTATTTCTAGCTCCTCTGGCTTATGGCCTTTGCATGGTTCAAGGCACAATAATCAGGAGACTGGAGTTCTAATGTCAGCCCTCTACCACTGCCTTGCTGTGGGAGCATGACTAAATTACTTTCTTTGCCTGGTAATCAGGTTCATCTTTGCACCTCCAAAGTATCTGCTACTTCTAACATTACATGAGTTTTCCTTTCATAAGCATTTAATCTGAATTAAAAAAAATTAAAAGGAGTAATTCCTTAAGGGGTCTTAAGCTTTGCAACTTGGAATGGCATTCTATCTCTTCCAGCTTCCTGCACAGACATTATGCCTCCTCCTGAAGTATCTAAAAATAATAAAGAATAAGTGTAATATATACAAAGCATTGTCACCCCTGCGATTACATTTCATGTTCTTAAAATCCATGTGACTTTAAAAAAATGACATTGCATAAAGTGGGCCAATAACCTTTGAAGAGATTATGATACCAATGCTGGAAGTACCCTGAGTAACCACACACACACTCACACACACACACACACAAAACAACAGCAAGAATCTTCCACCCTAATCAGGAATTTGCAAAGAATAATTAAATTAATTTAGCTATGTGGCTGGGCATGGTGGCTCACGCCTGTAATCCCAACACTTTGGGAGGCCAAAGCAGGTGGATTACTTGAGGTTGGGAGTTTGAGACCAGCCTGGCCAACATGGTGAAACCCCATCTCTACTAAAAAACAAAAATTAGCTAGCCATGGTAGTGGACACCTGTAATCCCAGCTACTCAGGAGGCTGGGGCAGGAGAATCGCCTGAACCCGGGAGGCAGAGGTTGCAGTGAGCCGAGATCATGCCGCTGCACTCCAGTCTAGGCAATAGAGTGAGACTCTGTTTCAAAAAAAAAAAAATTAATTTGGCTATGTGTATACATGGTAGTGATGTGCTTTACGACAGGAGAGGCAAATTGATGACCTAAGATCAAATTCTATTAGAGAATTTGTGATTTGTGTTTAGACCATACAAGAATTTAAAAAGTCAGAATTTCAGTACCTTTAACTGGGACATGTACTCTCCTGTGTGCCACAGCCCTCACTATTCCCCGTTGCTCATCTGTCTCCACAATAAGTGCTTTGTTATGTGCATGCGTTTCAAAACCATGAGTTTGCAACTTGTAAATATGCAAATATCGTATCATAACAATCAGAAGCAGCAGCATGGTAGCCAGACTCTTACCATAGCCCTTGGCAACAGCCTCTCAGGAAACTAAGTTCAATTCCCAATTCTGCTCTGTCCCTTCCCTTCCCTGGACCCAAGTTTTCTCTCCTTCAGAATGTGATATCCAATCTCAAAGTTTACTTTTAGCTCCCTCACTTGAATGACCTTGAACTGAGTTGATCAAATTGCAACAAATATGCAGAGTTGTTGCAGCCAAAGTTTCAGGGGTCACATTAAACTGGCCCCGCGGGAAGAGCGGTTCGACAAGCCCAGGAAACGAACACAATGAGCCACTTCCCACTCTGGGCCTGATTTTACCCATTCACAAAGTGAGAGGGTTGGGGCACAGCAGTCATTCTCAGCAGGGACAGCACTCCCTCTAGAGGACATTGTGGATTTTTTTTTTTTTTTTGGCATCTACCCAAGACTCTGAAAAGATCAATGCACAATGAATAATTATCCTGCATCCCACATGCCTTTTGAATATCTTACTGGACACTCATGGACACTGAAAAATTATTGTACTTTCCTAAGTCATTTTAGGCTTATCTTGTATATATTTTACTATTATTATACTATAATATACTGTACTATTATGGCATATATAATATTACTATGTTATATTAAGCAATTACAAAATTGTTTATTAAAATTTCCCTAGCTTTTCCCCCTAGTTTATATGTGTTACATATAAACACAAAGTATTTTTCACACTTATAATATTTTGTTGAATTTTGCAGAAATGTAACTACCTGTACTATGTAAATTGGGAGGAGACTGTACTGTTTTCTTCAGAGTTTTACCAAGACTTGTTAACCACTTCACAGTCATCTCAATGGCAGCAAGACTGAGGTATCTGAGTCTGCAATACATAACACACCTGTATCAGTCTGTATTTGTAGATGTTGCAGCCTCAATTATTCTATACACAGGTACAAGCAACTTATTACTTCATTTTGTGTTAGTGGAGTCAGCTGAATATTTATTAAACTATCACCTTTGTGAAACATTACATGTTTTGCTTTTATTTTTACTGTATAATAGGTCATTATATATTTTTACAAAGAATATGTGCAGATATATGTGAACTTTATTTTAGAATATTAAGAGTTAAAAAATATAGTTACAAGAGAGTGTTGACTTTGATTAGATTGAAACAAATAGGTTAGACTTTCCAAATGTATAATCCTAAATTTAAAAATGAGCCTGGATCAGCTCCACAACAGCATAAGCAGTGGTGGCTGACATTAAGTGTTAGAAATGATATGAAAGGTGAAATAAACATGATACCTGAAAAGAGTGGAATTTAAAAAAATAAAATTGAACTTATAAATACTGCTGTTTTTGAGCTGTTAAGCATCTCTATTTTAACCTTAAAATGTAAAATTGAATCTATAGGCTAAAATCTTTCTCTAGTATGGAAATTTTCCTTGTTTTTTTGTAGATGTTACCAGGATTATATCGTCTAAGCTGTATTTATTTGTTTCATTAAGCTGTGTATTTCCTATCAAACATTTTTTCAGGTAAATGTTATGTTTCATAACTCCCAACCAATCCACCAACTATAGTTTTTTTAAATGGGGACATGACCACAATTTCAAATTCTGAAATGCTGATCATATTCCTATGTCTGTTTTCACAAAGCTGTAAAAATCACATCATATTATACATCTTATATGACTATTTCTCATAAAATCCCCCAGTGAGTGTTCACATTATCTGTGGGATTTAGGCAGGGCAGGGATTACTATATCTCTACTTACCAGTGTTCAGAGACATGTTCTGCACACAAATTCAGCAAGCTATATTGCTCTGTCCACCACCCAGAACCCCTGAGTCCATCCCAGTCTAATGCACTTGCCATTCCAACCTGGCACATCTTTCCATCAAGCCTTCCTGCTTTATCAAAATCATCCCCATTTACCTCGTCAAGGCGGTGGTGTGGTGGTCATTTTCCAGCTTCTTGTAGGCCAGCGCTATGACTCGAAAGCCCTGTGTCGTGTAAATCTGAAGCTCACTAACAAAACTAGTGGGTACTGTTTAGAAAGAAACACAGGGTTAGTATGCAGTATTTACTGAGGCAGTACTGTCAAGGAAATTCTTCACAAACATCCAACTTTGGCCCAAGAAAGCACACCTCTACAAAGATATGTGAACAAATCAGTGAAAATTCTGAGCACAACTACGTTGTCAGGGTTGACCTCTTCAGATGTAGTGAAGCTAAAATGAGAATGAAGCATTTGAAAAAAGAAAAAAAGATAGAAAAAGTGTAGAATTCTTTTTTCTTCAGTTTAACCAACAAACATTTATTGAAAATCTACTATCTGCCAGGCATTGGCTGTGCAGAGATTAAATCACAAGCTCTGCACCCAGAAATAAGACTTCACATCTACAACTATCGGATGTTTGACAAACCTGACAAAAACAAGCATGGGGAAAGTCTTCCCTATTCAATAAATGGTCCTGGAATAACTGGCTAGCCATATGCAGAAGATTGAAACTGGACCCCTTCCTTACACCATATACAAAAATTAACTCAACCTGGATTAAAGACTTTTAAAACCTAAAACTATAAAAGCCTGGAAGACAGCCTAGGCAATACCATTCTGGATATAGGCACGGGCAAAGATTTCATGACAGAGATGCCAAAAACAATTGCAACAAAAGCAAAAATTGACAAATGGGATTGAATTAAACTAAAGAGCTTCTGCACAGCAAAAGAAACTGTCAACAGAGTAAACATACAACCTACAGAACAGGAGAAAATTTTTGCAAACTATGTATCCAACAAAGGTCTAATATCCAGCATCTATAAGAAACTTAAAGAAAATTTATAAGACAAAAAAACCCCAAAAAATCCTTATTAAAAAGTGGACAAAGGACATTAACACTTTTCAAAAGAAGACATACATGAGACCAATAATCATGTGAAAAGAAAAAAGCTCAACATCACTGATCATTAAAGAAACGCAAATCAAAACCACAATGAGATACCATCTCACACCAGTCAGAATGGTGATTATTAAAAAGTCAAAAAACAGCAGATGCTAGTGAGGTTGTGGAGAGAAAGAAGTGCTTATACACTGTTGGTGGGAGTGTAAATTAGTTGAATCACTGTGGAAGACAATACAGTGACACCTCAAAGTCCTAAAGACAGAGATACCATTTGGCCCAGCAATCCCATTACTGGGTATATAGCCAAAGGCAGGTAAATCATTCTATTAATAAAGATGCACATGCATATATATGTTTATTGCAGCACTATTCACAATACCAAAGACATGGAATCAACCTAAATGCCCATCAATGGTAAACTGGATATAGAAAATGTGGTATATATACATGATGGAATACTATGCAGCCATAAAAAAGAATGAGATCACATCCTTTGCAGGGACCTGGATGGAGCCGGAGGCCATTATCCTTAGCAAGCTAACATAGGAACAGAAAACCAAACTTATATGTGGGAGTTAAATAATGAGAACACATGGGCATATAGGGGGGAACGACACATACTGGGGCCTATTTCAGGGGAGGGTGGGAAGAGGGAGAGGATCAGGAAAAATAACTAATGGGTACTAGGCTTAATACCTGGACAATGAATTAATCTGTACAAGAAACCCCCATGACTCAAGTTTACCTATGTAACAAACCTGCACATGTACCACTGAACTTAAAATATAGGCTAAAAAAATGAATGAAACTGAAAAAAACTCGAAAGTTCTGCTCTAAGGATTTCTGTCTGATTGAGTTACAGCCAGCAGAGTAACAATGCAATCAGATGAGATCATTGCTATCATCCAGGCCATTGCAGCATGCTGTGGCAAGCGTCTGGTGGTGTATATACCAGCCTGGGAGGAGGTGGTTCAGTAAAGGCCGGATTCTGGGGCTGAGGGAGAATCATGAGCTTAGTCATGGAGGCATGAGAGTAAGCTGTGAAGATTAGTTCAGCTCAGGAAAAGCACAGGATGAGGAGTGGTAAGGTCCATCTGGAAAGTTCCCTGGGAGTTCAAACCTGAAAGCCTTACATGTGATCCTAAAGAAATGTGAGATTATCCTGGAGCCTATGAGAGCAACGAAAAGAATCGTGAGGTAAAGAGTCTGGTCACAGTACAGAGGGCAAATCAGAGCTGGGGAGACTGGAGGCAGACGGTCAATCCACCAACTATTGAAGTGATCAAGAATGATGAAGGCATGAGCAGATGCAGTGAAGACCATGGATTAGCAACTGACAAGACAGAGGCACTAAGTGGGAGCAAGAAATCAGGGATGATACCTAAATGGGGTGAGGGTGGGGGATGGTGGTATCATGCACCAAATAGGAAACTGGGGAATACAGGAAATGAGAAAGACAAGCTTGGCTTTCGTATTGCATTTGGAATGCCAGTGAGCCACCCAACTGGTGATGACCCACAGGCAATTGGATTAATAGATCAAACGCTGTGGGAACATATTTATTTGGAGAAACAGATGTGCCAGGTGTAATCCAAGTCAAGTTACAGACCTGTCTCAGGTTGGCAAAAGCTGGCCACCCTCTCTGGTGCACCTTTCATGAATGCCAGTCGGTCACCTCCCATCTCTTGGACAATGACTGTCATTCTTTGCAGAGCTGATGAGAATGGGAACTGATGCAGGATTGCGATTCCTTCCACTGGGACCTGGTTGAGGGATGGGGAAAGGAGAGGAACCTGCTGATATAGCTTCTGGCTACTGGGAATTAACCACTCCTTCCGTAATCTTTATTTTAATAAATAAGCGGGAAGGTCTCACCCATTTTCACACCTGAAATTCAAAGACACATCTGTGACTTTTCAAAACCTGGGGGCCCGAAGAGAGTTTCTCTTTGAGTTTGGGTGTTGTGGGGTGAAGAGCAAGCAGGGCTTACCTGGCTGGCTGTTCTGCAGGGCTTAACCACCATGGCATGTGCCGGCACTCCCTTGATGTGGAAATCGTCCCCAGAAAAAGCCATTTCCTGTTTCACAAATAGGATATTTCATTGCAGAGATACGTTGACTGTTTGCCCACTGATACTATGTTTGAACCCTCCCCTTGAGAAAACCCTCAGGCCACCTCAATGTGTTTTCCGTGTCTCTTCCCTCAGAGGTGAACCAGATTTATTCTGCCACACACAAAAAAAATAATAATAATACTAATGCATTGAAAATGCTGCACAACTTGAAGGGCAGACACTTTTGAATTATTCATGCAATTGGTCTTGTTTTCTCTGTTGGAATGCGCTGCGTAAAGGCTCGTTCTCCATTTCTAAAGAGCCTAGCTTGAAAGTCATGAACGTGAAAGGCCAGACTTCCTTTGTGTGAAGCAAGCACCTTCTGTTGTTCTTTTCCTGCACTTCACGGCTCTTCCTGCCCTTGCATGTCTGAATAATTTGGATGGATGGTCCTCAGGGCTGGGGTAGGGCAGGGCAGAGACTGTGATATACATGGTTAATAATCAGTAATTGCTATAATAACGACCCTAAATTATAGTCAAAGGGGCCTTTTGCCCAAAGACAACGCAGCGCTTTGTAATCATCTCATTGAGTGGCTGACAAGGTCCCAGAGAGGAAACTGCAATCCCTATTTAAAGATATGGAATCGGTAACCCAGAAAAGATGGAGGCTTGGCAAAGTTACATCAGATTGCTATGAAATAATGCTCCGGGAGATTTGGAAGGGACCCTGAAGATTGTCTCTTTCAGTGGTGCTCCCAGAGTGCCACCAGAGGCGAGAGCTATATGCAGCGCAGGGAGAAAGGAAGGGATTCTGGCTAAGTAGTCGGGGCTGCATGTCCCTTAATCCTCATCTTTAGACCCCACCTTTTATTTCATCTGGAGTGACTCCAGCTATTCAGTCTTTACAGTGTTTCTGGAGAATGTTTCCTTTTACGAAAAGATTCCAGATTGTTTGTCTTGTTTTGTGTCATGTGAACACCACTGGTCTAATTCATTTTATGGTCATGAGAGCCAAGGCGCCAACATGAGAGACAGCTTAACAGGATTCAGCAGCCAGTTAGAGCAGAGCCAAAACTAGAATCAGAAAAGCCAGATTCCTGAACTACACGTTGGCTCTTAAATCTAATTTAGAGTCTCAACAAAAGCTCTTTAGTGCTTTTCCTTTTTATTGTTTCTAGTCTTGGAAATAAAATCAATACTAAATTAATAGAAGTAAGACATAGTCACCATGAGTCTATGAGTTATCCTGAGCGCTGGAGAAAGCAATGTTTTCTGATTCCCATATTCTGGAAAATCTTTGAAACCAGACAATGCTCAGAGAACAGTACAGAGAGATGAGAAATAATTACATAATAATTACAATTCTATTAATATGATTGAACCTTTAATATTTGCCAGGCACAGCACCAAGGATTTTTTTAATGCATCAACTCATTTAATCCTCACAATAGTCTCATTATGTAGATGCTATTATTAGCTTCATTGCACAGATGAAGAAACCAGGCTTAGATGAGTTTGCCCTTCACTACCAAATGTACTCCACATTGGACACCTCACCTTTTATAAGAATTACATAGCTCTGATATTGCCTATGTTGCTCTGGCATTGAAGAAGCTTCTCAGGTTCTCTGAAGAGCAGAGGCTTACCCAGGTGGTGGCTTCAAACATTTTGAGGTCCAGAGGGTCTCCCTGGATGGTCCCATCAAGAAGGATCAGAGAGTGGCAGCTGGCCATCGCCGCACACAGTGGGCCCCATGGCAAAGCCTGGCCTGAGGCAAAGCTGTGAACTTCCTGAAAGCTTAAGGAGAAAAAGAAATGGGTTTCCATTCTATCTCCTCAGGCCAAAACAGAGCATCTTGGAGGTGAACAAACATCTTTATAAAACATAATTTAATATGCTTTGTTGCATTAATAGCCACTCTCCAATCCTCCCACATTAATTGCTTCATTCAGCCAAGTAAGTTCACTGAGTATGAGAAAGGTCTCTGAGGTTTTATTTTGTTCGTTTTTTTTTTTTTTTTCCGGATACAGGGTCTCACTCTATCACTCCGTCACCCAGGCTGGAGGAGGGCAGTAGCGTGATCTCGATTCACTGCAACCTCTGCTTCCCAGGTTCAAGCGATTCTCCTGCCTCAGCCTCCTGAGTAGCTGGAATTACAGACAGCCACCAACATGCCAAGCTAATTTTTTGTATTTTCAGAAAAGATGGGGTTTCACCATGTTGGCCAGGCTGGTCTTGAACTCCCGACTTCAGGTAACCCACCCGCCTCGGCCTCCCAAAGTGCTGGGATTACAGGTGTGAGCCACCGTGCCTGGCTAAAAACATTTTTCAAAAGAACACTGCATCCCCCTCTTCCACCCTGGCCTCTTGTGTCCCTATCCCAACCATTATCCCCACCATTTCATTTTAGATGAGAACACAGTCTCATCTAAAAAGCTATTAAAATACAACTCAAATGTTACAGGCAGAGTGCCTTCACTGATTCAGAGTGGGGGCCATTAAGTTCAGCTCTGGCATCACAAGAAGAATGTCGCCTGCAGCTTGGTTAGTCACAGCCCCTTCTCAAATGTGCAGCACAGATGTTGGTTCTCAAAGCAGCTTATGCCGTTTGGAGGACGTCTGAATGGTGGAAGCTTCATCCTACGTGGGGGCAAAATCTGCTCCTGGGAGCCAGTGAGAGTTCACTTGCTCCCGCTCCTCCACATGCCAACTTCTTTCAAACTTACGGATCAACTCTGCCGTTCCCCTTCACCTCCCTCCCTCTGGTGTTGCACAGGAACCTCTAGCTGTTCCCCTAATAACAGTTTTATCAGGCCTCCCTCTCACTTTCCTTATTCTTCTTTTATGGAAAAGTTCCTATTTGTCATTGTCTGATCCTGGAGACCACATTTCAAGACAGACAATTACTTCTGATAATATGGACCCTGCATTTATTTAAAGATAACCTTAAATTGCTCTAGCCCTTTGCTTTGAAAGCAAACACATTGCAATGTTAACTCACAATTCAGCCACATGGCTTCCTGGCTTTTGCATTCAAGTGTCCTTTTGTCACACTAAGAGTTCAAAAATGTCCTGGCTTTGTATTGACCCTGTTAGTTATATTCATTATTATGTGTTAAGAGAGCAACTCATCTTGGTGGGTTTACCGCATACCCGATGGTATTTTAGTAAATATCTAAAAGGAAGAGACCACCAGCAGTATAGTTAACACAGAAACTTAAACTCACACTGAAAAGCAAAATACAGATCGGAAAAAAAAATTTTATTTTTACTATGAGACGTACACTGTCACTAGTCTGTAATTCTGAGTATATAATTCTGCATTCCAGAAGATTGGGCCAGACTCTGGTTAGCACAGCAAATACATAAAGCTCTCTATCAATCCTGTCGGTGCATTTTTATCTGAGTATTTCTGGTTATCAATCCCTGATAGCCTTTAATAGTTCTTAAAGTATCTGGCACAACAATCAGGGCTTTTTGGAAAAGAAGAAATATCAGAGATGAGCTCACGTTTAACAAGAAGGCATTTAATAGCCTCTAAGTCAGGTGCTCACTTCTTACCTAGAATTAATTCTGTTTTGTTTCATTTTATTAATTAAATTTGCCATTTTTTATTTTAATTTGTTGTTTTAATCATTGGACTTCAACTTTGATCTGCAGGCAGGCAGGCAGGCAGGAAAAAAGGAAGGAAGGAAGGAAGGGAGGGAGGGAGGGAGGAAAGGGAGGGAGAGAGGAAAGGGAGGGAGAGAGGAAAGGGAGGGAGGGAGGGATCATTTACCCTCCCTGATATGTTATCAATAACATATCAATTGTTATTACTTCAATGTAACAAGTCACTTTTAGAAACAGAAAGTTTCCAAAGTTTTATGAATAATACGGTGTCAATTCAATAAGTGGAACATTCAAAAGACAGAACATATTGAGTTCATTTTAGATGAGCAATTACTGTGCACCTACTATCTGTGCCTGGCACAGAGCTACAGCACTAGAGATGCAAATCTAAATAAGAACAAGACTGCTCTTAAGATGCACACATATTTGAATAAATGTACACATATTTTGTAGAAGCTGAAACAGAAAAACACTAATGAACCATGAGACGAAGTATATATCTAAATCTACCCTCTAGGAAAAATGAAAAGAACTTTAGAGTTTAACACTTTAAGAGGCTTCTTCTGTACACTAAAGTGGTTAGAAGCACAAGGATCACTTTTTTAATCCAGGAATTAGACTTGTTTCTAAATGGTATTTTAATACGACAAGTATTAAACTATGTGTAATTAGCATATTTTATGGATAAATTACATGTCATCTCTATAATGCCAAAGAACCACCATGAACATTTCATGCACAAAATGCTTTGTGATTTAAGTTACAAGTGTTACAGGAGAAAACTTTCATTTTCAAAGGAAACATAAATGTCAAGTGCATCAGAGATTTCATGTTCTGATTCCCCAGGAGTTCGTAGTGAGTAGAAAAAGCAGGGAGAGATGCAAACTCAAACATGGCCACAAGAGGGCCACAGGAGAGGGCTGTGCAAATCTTTAACGCACCATGCTGAGAACTACCAAAACTGTCTTCACTTGCTAGGAAAAAGGAGTTTCAGCCCGGCGCAGTGGCTCACGCCCGTAATCCCAACACTTCAGGATGCCAAGGTGGGCGAATCATCTGAGGTCAGGAGTTTGAGACCAGCCTGGCCAACATGGGGAAACCCCGTCCCTACTAAAAATACAAAAATTGGCCAGGTGTGGTGGCAGGCACCTGTAATCCCAGCTACTCGGGAGACTGAGGCAGGAGAATTACTTGAACCCAGGAGGCGGAGGTTGCAATGAGCCAAGATCATGCCACTGTACTCCAGCCTGGGCGACAAGAGCGAAACTCCCTCTCAAAAAAGAAAGAAAAGAAAGAAAAAGAAAAAGGAGTTTCCAGCAGCCAGAAAGTAGAGTTCTTAAAACTGGAATACCAAGAAAAATGAGTACACTAGCTATGGTTCTACAAATGTTCCTCTTCCCTTCCTGAAGTTCAGGGTACAAAAGTCAGAGCAGTGTTCTTCCTCCTAGCACATCAAGAGGCTTCAGCTTGAACCAAGAATGTTACCTCCCTAAAGGACAGTGTCCTGGTAATGTCTAAATTACTTACACTGCGTCAACTTCATGCTGGAAGCAAATTATATTTTAGCAAGGATTTGGATGCAGTGTCAAAGCTTCATCTCCCGGATTTGTGACTGGCATGGGACTGCATTGGGATGGGGGAAAATGGGTATGCTTTAGTGAGGCTTTGAAGAATTCAAGATGAGAAGTTAAAAGAAGATACTTTGGCAAAAGATGAGAAGTTAAAAGAAGATACTTTGGCAATCATTGTTCACCAAAGCCAAAGTCCAAATGTCTCCATTAGTAATTTCAAGAGAAAACACGGAATTCTGGGAAAAGAGACACTAGAATGCATTTAGTCCAAGGTACTCACCCATTCCTATCACAGGACACGACTCCCCAGAGGTCCAAGCCATCCCTTGTTAAGGTGCCTGTCTAAACAGAAACAAATGCTGCATTTACTCTGAAGATCCAGGCAAGGCACGGTGGTTCATGCCTGTAATCCCAGCACTACGGGAGGCTGAGACAGGAGAATCACTTGAACTCAGGAGTTGGAGACCAGCCCAAACAACACAACGAAATCACCTCCCTACTTTAAAAAAAAAAAAAAAAATCCAGGGTCCCCATAGTGAAGACTCCATAGTGCAGATAAATAAGGTATTTCTGTAATGAGAAAATGCTTCACAAACATATTAACAAGATCAAAACTTCAAGGAGGGGCACCGTGAGGGGGTCTCTGGAGTGCCCGTTGGAAGCGTGATGAGCTTATGCCAGTTGTCTAACAAGCTGGAACTTAATCTTTTCCAACTTTAGTGTCCTCCATGACAACGACAAAAAAAGTATCTTCCTCACAACTTCAGAGGATTGTTTTGAGGATCTAATGGTAGCCTAAATGGATGGGAAAGTCCTCGATATAAAATGCGTGAGTCCTAGTTTCATAGCAGAAGTTTAAAATATGTCATTAAAATAAGGAATAGAGTGGAATTTTTCCCTACAGGGCACTGTGTGTGAAAAGACTCGAAAGAAATGGTTTGCTATTTGGTAAAAAAAAAAAAAAAAAAAAAAAGGGTTGGTATTTCTCTCAGTGCAATATAATGGTTAAGAATTCAGGTTAGGTTTAAACACCAGTTGTATGACCAGTGCAAATTAATCCCTCTAAATATAAGAGCGCTTATTCGTAACATGGTCATAATCTCAGAGAGTTGTGGTGAAGATTAAATGGGATAACATAAAGTGTTTCATTTAACATCTAGCATACAGTAAAAGCTAATAATAATCATAATTACTCATAATTATTGCTCATTTTTTATACAAATTCAGGTCACAATTATCTCTCCCACTCCTGTTTCTTTTTCCAAGTCCAAGGATATAATCTCATAAATAGAATGTCATTTCTTACGTTGCCAGTTTGATCACAAAATAATATTAAAATGGTGGTAAGAGTTATGTTGACTTTCTGTTCTTGGTAGATCTTTCTGATATTCCAATAATTATAAAATACAGGCCTGATCCCATTAATTCTCAACTATCGAAACCTTCAGTATACTGCTGAATGAATATAATTTCAGTTTGGGAAAATAAAAGAAGTCCCCAAAATGAATAGTAGTGATGGCTGCAGAACAGTGAGAAGGTACTTAATGCCAGTGAACAGTACACTGAAAAATGACTAAAATAAATTTTATGTTATGTGTATTTTACCACATTTAAAAAGTAAATTTAAAAAAGAAGTCAACAACAGCAACAAACGCCTTCAATAACTCTCCACTGCTTAAAATATATGTAAACACTTTCTAAGCCAGACATTCAAGGTCCACAGATAGCCTCTCCCATTACCAACAGCCTGCTCTAGTCAAAACCACACTCTCTTGCGTTCCTGCCTCCATGCCTCTACCCATGCTCATCTGTTCACAATGCCCTGAAAGGCATTTCCATCTTATTCTCTCACAACTCCCACCTTCACCCCAGCATATGTGTGTACAGACTAAACAAATACAATAAAGAGATGGTAGCATAAAAGGCTGGTTGGGAATGACTGGCAAATAATCAAGGGTAGTTTTAGACAATAAACTACAGATGGGAAAATACAGCCAAAGTTTGATATGAGTCTCATAGTAAGGCACAGTTTAATAAACTCTTCCTTTTTTATTCGTTCATTAATTCAATCAATCTTTATTGCACACTAACTCTCTGCCAGGCAATATTCTTAGCATCAAGGATACAGCAGTGACGAGAGTAAAGGGTTTAAATTTTGTTCTTTGTATGAAGGTTTTGACTGCAGAGAAAAGGGATGCTATTTTAATTGCTTGTCATAGGATATTGAAGTTGGAAGGACCCAAAAAGATTCGCCTATTTAGCACCCACTTCTTCTCTAAACCTTGGACTCTGCGAGCTCAAGAGACGTATCTTTGCCAGATCACGCATATAACGAGGGATAAAATGAAGACAGCCACCCACATTCTATGTCTCCTGCCTTGCAAGAGGGTAAAAGTAGATACACACGATGACAGCAATGGTAAAAACTGATGATAACAATAAGGATGAAACACACATACCTTGTCAAAGCAGACCAGGTTTAACTGTCCACACACATTGATCCTCTGGGGGCTGATGCAGAAGATGCCGCTCTTCTTCAGCCTCCTCTGGGCATAGATAATGCCTGTGGTCAGAGCAGCAGGCAGAGCAGGAGGAACCGCAATTGTGATGACGTCAAGGGCTTTCCTCATCACCTCCTCTGGAGGTTCCTGGACGACAGTCACTCTTTAATTATTACAGACAAATCACTGATGAACAGCATAGGACTCTGCCTTTTTGTTTTTTTTTTTTTGGGAGACAGAGCTTCACTCTTGTTACCCAGGCTGGAGTGCAGTGATGTGATCTCGGCTCATTGCAACCTCCACCTCCCGCGTTCAAGCGATTTTTCTGCCTCAGCCTCCCGAGTAGCTGGGATTACAGGCACCCGCCACCATGCCTGGCTAATTTTTGTAGTTTTAGTAGAGACGGGGTTTCGCCATGTTGGCCAGGCTGGTCTCAAACTCCTGACCTCAGGTGATCCACCCGCCTTGGCCTCCTGAAGTGCGGGATTACAGGCGTGAGCCACTGTGCCCAGCCTTCCTTCTTTTTGTTTACTTCTTTAGGTCAAATTTCAAGAAATTATATCAGTGGGTTAAAGGCATGACCATGTTTATCTTTCGCCAAATAGCAATAAAAACAAATGTGATTTATATTGTTACCAGCAAAGAATAACGTACTAGTCTGCCATGACCTCACGAAAACTGGGTGTCTGATTTTATTTAAAATCCCTCGTTCGATAGCTATAAAAATGCTACTTTATTGAAAATATATTCTCAGATTGAAAAGGAAAAATAGTATAAAGTGTGAGGAAAAGAGAAATACATTGATATACCAATCAATAAATAGTTTTATCCCACTATCCCATGAAGTCTGTCTGTTATTATGGACTTAGTGATCAGTTGCTGATTGGGATCTGGAAGTCCACACACAGGTTTCAGGGCTTGGCTTTGTTTCTCAGGTTTGTAAACCACATCCTAGATTAAAGCCAACATGTACAGTACGAAATATATATAGATGAGTATGTACACATTTAATAAAAGAGCAAAGACAGCTTACCCCACTGAGCACATAGACACACAGGGTATAGATCATCCCAACGGTGGCTGTTCCTACAAGGCACAGGAGGAACCTGATGGCATCCCTGTACAACTTAAAATTCATTGGCTTGGGGTAGAGAATGGATCTCACAAGGTCTCCCTTTGCAGTGTTGAATCCTGGAACAACAAACGCACACCGCACACTCTCAGGAGACCGACAGTAGTGGCCTCCTGTTAGTGCTCCTCCAAACCTCAGCACTGCTTTTGTTTCTCTACTGATATTTGAACAGTGTTTAAGCTCAAAGGCAACTGAAAGATAGCTAGAAAAATCCATAAATGCTAGAACGGAAATCTCTATCTCAGAGCCCGGTACTCTCTCTGGCCTTCCTTTCCTCTACTTCCAATTTCAATGCATCCCGGAGCTAGGAAAGCCCCGTACTGGGTGCACAGCACAGCTTTGCCAAATAGAATTTTATTTTAAGAAAATGACTCAAACGTATGCATGCACGCGCATGTCACTTGAATTAAAATTAAGTGGTCCAGTAAATACTGATGGACTCACTTTTCTAATACTTTGCAATGTTACATTTGCAGTTTCTAGCCCACCCTAGAAAGAACTTGGGATTCAGGATTAGAAGACCTGGGTTCTAGGTGCAGCTTCGTCAACTGCTGGCCATGGTATTTTTAAAAGTTCATTGAATTGTGTGGCCTCAGCCTATTCATAGGCATAGTAGAAGCAGTAAGCATCTCTGCTCTGCTTGTTTGATATGGTGGAAAGAGTTTATATACTGCAAAGCACATAAATAATAATTAGTGTTATCAGTACTATCATTTTTACTAACAGGCATATGCCATAGTTCAATTGGTATTTAAAACATATGGATTTATATATATTTGGTGTGTTTTGTACCTATAGGTAAGACTTCTCCTTATCTATGGGTACAAAAAAAAATGGAAAAAATGAGTAAGGCCTGCTATTTGATAGTACAAAGGGTGACTATAGTCAATAATAACTTAGTTGTATATTTTTAAATAACTTAAAAAATGTAATTGGATTGTTTGTAACTCAAACGACAAATGCTTGAGGGAAGAGATACCCCATTCTCCATGATGTGCTTATTTCACATTGCAGGCCTGTGTCAAAACAGCTCAGGTATCCCATAAGTATATATACAGCTACTATATACCCACAAAAATTAAAAATTAAAAAAACTATGATTATAAAGAAAAAACAGCTTCTCTTCACCTAATAAATTTAAGGCACTAGACAAACTGAGCAAAAATATATCATTAAAAATAAGAAAAAGGAGGTGATGCTAACCGGTCTGCAGTACCACTGCTCTCACGGTCCCAGAGCAAGCTGCCTTGGCCTGGATAACCTCTGTTCCACAGAAGAGGACATGCCGTTTGTAATCCGCTTCACTCTGTGTTTTCCAGGGCACAGAGCTATCCACCTTGGGTAACGGAGTTTTGGTGACTGGGATACTTTCTCCTACAGAAAACAAGCATGTTGTTTTGTGAGGCAGGATGACTTCCCTCATTTAAATCATGCCTGCACCCACTCATCATACAACAGACTTTTTTTTGTGTGCCTACCATGTGGCAGAGACAACCCTAGGTATTGGGGATATAAGCATAAACACAGTCTTTATTTCTAAGAGGTCTGTAGTTTAGAATAGGAGACAGATAAGTAAACAAATAAGTATAATACAGTATTATAAATACTATAGGTATTGTAAATCAAGCACAGATGTCAAGATAGCTGGAAATAACTATTTAGGGAACCTCAAGCTGTGCAGTCAAGAATATGGAGTGTGGAGTATAAAGGGCCATGAGAGCTATCTAGGAGTCAAAGCATGGAGAACTCTAAGTGTCCACAGATATGTCTAAAGGCACTGGTGGGCTGGGCACAGTGGCTCATGTCTATAACCCCAGTACTTTGGGAGGCCGAGGTAGGCAGATCACCTGAGGTTGGGAGTTCGAAACCAGCCTCACCAACATGGAGAAACCCCATTTTTTGTAAAAATACAAAAAATCAGTCAGGTGTGGTGGCTCATGCCTGTGATCCCAGCTACTCAGGAGGCTGAGACAGGAGAATCGCTTGAACCCGGGAGGCAGAGGTTGCGGGGAGCCAAGACTGTGCCATTGCACTCCAGCCTGGGCAACAAGAGTGAAACTCCATCTCAAAAATAAATAAATAATAAATAAAAATAAAATAAAGCCACTGGTGACTGAAGGAGGATGTGGAGAGATTTAACCACTTTAATCAGGAGAGTAACATCATATTTATGTATAAGAGAGAGCACTCTGTCCATAGCACAGGGAATGAATCAAAGTCTGGTGAGGTTGGAGGCTGGGTATCCAACTGGGAAATAATCACAGGAATCCCAGTGGCAAGGGATGAGGTCTGAACTATGACAGCTGGCAGTGGGAATAGAAAGGAAGCACTGCATTCAGGAAACAAGGAAGTGGCCGGATACAGTGGCTCACGCCTTTAATCCTAGCACTTTGGGAGGCAGTGACAGGCAGATCACTTGAGCCAGGAGTTCAAGACCAGCCTGGGCAACATGGTACAGCCCTGTCTTTTCTAAAAATACAAAATTAGCTGAGTGTGGTGGTGCATGCCTATAATCCCAGCTACTCTGGAGGCTGAAGCACGAGAATCACTCGAGCCCGGCAGGCGGAGGTGGAAGTGAGCGGGCATCACACCACTGCACGGCAGCCTGGAAAACAGAGTGACACTCTGTCTCAAAAAAGGAAAGAAACAAGGAAGTAAGGAGCTACAAAACTTGAGAAAATGTATTGGCAGGTCATAGAGACAGAGAAATTTGCAATGCTTTTCTAGTTCCTGACTTGGGAGAATAAGCAGAGGCTCAACATTATTCCTTAACATAGGGATTATAGGAGGAGAGAAAGAATTGTCTTTTGGCCACTGTAAGTTGAAGTTGCCTTGTAGAATGACCATGTTGAGATGCCTTGTAGGCAGTTTGAGATTTATTTGGATTTGAAGCTCAGAGGAGAGGACTGGACTAGAGATATTTCGCCAGAACTCATCAGGTTTTAGATGATAATTAAAGTCACAGAAGCAGACAAGTTTACTTAGAGACCAAGTATACAGTGAGAAGAGGAAAGGCCAAGGATGCAGCCATGAGCAGCACCAATAATCCAGGAGATGGAGGAAGAGGAGCAGCAGAAGAAACTGAATGGGTATAGTCAATGGTAGAAGAATTTGGAGAGAGAGAATTATCTTAGAAAGTTATAGGGAAGAGAGTTTTCAGAAAGAGAGCTGGTCAGAATAGTCAAATGGAACAGAGAGGACAATAAGTTGAGACATTTAAAGAATCAGGCTGGGCACAGTGGCTCATGCCTGTAATCCGAGCACTTTTGGAGGCAGATCACTTGAGGTCAGGAGTTCCAGACCAGCCTGGCCAACATCGTAAAACGCCGCCTCTACTAAAAATACAAAAATTAGCCAGGTATGGTGGTGCACGTCTGTAATTCCAGCTACTTGATGGAGGCTGAGATGAGAGGATCGCTTGAACCCGGGAGGCAGAGACTGCAGTGAGCCAAGATCAAGCCACCGCACTCCAACCTGGGCAACAGAGTTAGTGAGACTCTGTCTCAAAAAGAAAGAAATTTAAAGAGTCCACTGGACTTGGCAATTGGGACTTCAGCAACTTTTACCAGTGCAGTGGGAGAGGCCTATTGCAGAGGCTTGAAGTGCTAATACAAGGTAATGAATGAAGCCGTGAAATAACTGTGGGTCTGTTCTGAGGAACAAGTTTCTAAAGTCTTCTACTGGTCTCTGCAGAGTGGTCAATAGAAAGTCAGAGTTGCATTACAGTATATTAAGGCTACTTTCATTAGGAAAATGGTAGTTGGCACTGCAGAGTCCCAGCATTACAGGATTTTTAGGAATCTATGGATTTTAGAGGGAAAAGAACCTGCCTTGCCATGATCTGTGACACATTTATTCTTTGTCAGCTAACATAGGAAGGTGTGTACACTTGTCTCCATTACCTGTCTTTCTGGGCTGCCTGGGAGAAATGGATTTGATCTGAACTTGAATGGGAACCATAATACACCCATGAGAGTGCGTTCACAGCCTCCATGTATTCACAGCCTCTCATTTCATCTCCGAGAAACGCTCTATGATTCTTCTTTATGTTATAGAAGTATCAGCTGAACATCTCATCATTATGCTATGTCAGTGAGAAATCACGGCAGTGTAATCTTAAGCAAGTCACCTCTCTGGACCTCAGTTGCCGTGCCTGTGATGTGAGATAACCTCACAGGTCCCACCCAGCTCCAGCATGCCATTTGTCAACGAACTACAGTGAGTCCGAAACACCCAGTGTGTATTTTGGAAGCAGCAGGTTTTTCCAAATGCTGCCTCATGAATTTCTTAACATTTTCAAGCCAGGCCAGGAAGAATTTGAATGACCCCTGTGGGTTTCAGGATGTCGCTGATGATTTTCAAACCCTCCAAGTTTATTTAAAAACATGTTTTATTTAAAATAAATAAACATAAAAGTCACAGACAATTCTGAAAGATCTAATGATCTCTACAATCTTTTAAGGTAAATGAGAGGTTTGTAATAATCTTTTGTTCAAGAAAGAAATACTAAACACTCAAAAACTTGTTACTGTATCAAACTTAACACATAGAAAGAGCTTTAATTTGAACCCACAGATCCATTCACAGCAGGACTGAGTAAGATTTGTGGAAACAGAAAGGTCCCATAGCAGACAATGCTTTACAGCCAGCCCTTGTCATTCAGGGAGAGGAGGAGTAGGGACCACAGTAGCGAGGAGTGTGGGCCAGGCCACAGAGGTTGCCAGCTGTGGAGGTAGAACTGTACCTGTCAGCATGCCTTCATCCACTACACAGCTGCCTTCAATCAGAACGGCATCACATGGCATTAGCACTTTGTTCCCTGTCAAAATTAATAAATCTCCAGGCACCAGGACGTGTGATTCCAGCTCTTGAACTCCAGCTGAAAGTGGGAGGAGACAGAGTTGAGTCAGGTTATTTTCCCACAAAAATATAATCCAACATCTGCTTAACTTGGATATCAATGAAAAAGCAACCATGGCATTTTTTTTTTTTTGAGAAAGGATAACATTCCTCAACGTTGATTCAAACTTTGAAAACAAAAAGAAAAGAATGTAACAAAATAGACTACATAAAATAAAAATCTTTGTGTGGCAAAATAATAAGAAAAAACTAATGACAAATTCAGAAACAAATTTGAAACTTACATTACAGATAAAAGGTTAATATTCCCAGCTGAGCACAGTGGCTCATGCCTGTAATCCCAGCACTTTTGGAGCCTAATGCGGGAGAATCATCTGAGCTTAGGTGTTTGAGACCAACCTGGACAACACAGCAGGAGCCCCATCTTCACCAAAAAATGAAAAATAAAACAATTAGCCAGGCATGGTGATGCACACCTGTACTCCCAGCTACTTGGGAGGCTGAGGTGGGAAGACTGCTTAAATTTAAGCTCAGGAGGTTGACACTGTAGTGGGTGATGATCATGCCACTGCACTCCAGCCTGGGTGACAGGGCAAGACCCTGCCTCAAAAAAAAAAAAAAAAAAAAAACAAAAAAAACCTAATAGATAATGAGTTCCTTTTAAAAAGAGATCTCCAGCAAATAACTGTATAGCAAAATTGCTAGATATTATCACTTCATACACACATACACGTGGTGCGTTAAGTGTCTGCAAAGCTGTTCATTCTTACCCATGATAAGAGAAATGAAAGTCTTTCCCTCCTTCCTCATTGCCTGCCTGCCTTCCTTTACTTCTTTTCTTCCTTATTCAGTCTTAAAGCTATTAGGGCCGGTGTAAGATAGGCATCCCTGCAGGGGGCTGGGTGGGGTGGGCTGGCAGCCTGCTCTGGGGTATTGGAGCCTAAGCAGGATGGAAGGGTGTTTCCATGACCTGGTACAGGGTGTCACAGCTTGAGCAGAGACAGAAGGGCCCCCATGGTGGCAGTGGCCTGCTGTGGGATGTGGGGACCCGAGCAAGGTGAAAGGGCGTCTACATAGGAGTGGGATGAGGGGCAGTGGGAGCATCAGTGGTGATGAAAGATTGGTTGCATCCAGGCAGAAATGGTACAATAAGTACAGTAGTCTCCCTTGATCTCCAGTTGCACTTTCCATGGTTTCGGTTACCTACAGTCAACTGCAGTCAGAAAATATTAAGTGGACAATCCCAGAAATAAACAATGTATAAGTTTTCCAACTGTGCACCATTCCGAGTAGAGTAATTAAATCTAGTGCTATGCGCTCCATCCCACCCGGAACAGAATCCATGCTGTATACACTTCCTGCTTGTCAGTCACCTGACTATTACATTGCCTGTCGCAGTATCCCTGTGCTCATTTCAGGTTACCCTTATTTTACTACTTGTGCCCCAAAGCACAAGAGTAGTAATGCTCTCAATTCAGTTATGCCAAAGAGAAGCAGTAAAGTGCTTTCTTTAAGTGAAAAGGTGAACATTCTTAACTTAAAGAAAACAAAACTGTATGCTGAGGTTGCTAAGATCTACAGTAAGAATGAATCAACTATCTGTGAAGTTGTGAAGAAGGAAAAAGAAATTTGTGCTAGTTGTCCATCGCACCTCAAACTGCAAACACTACAACCACAGTGTGAAGTGCTTAGATAAAATGGTAAAGGCATTAAATGTGTGGGTGGAAGACATGAACAGAAATGTGTTCCAAATGACAGTGATCAGACTCAGTACTACCCATGGTTTCAGGCATCTACCTGGGGTCTTGGAATGTATCCCCTGCAGATAAGAGGGGACTCCTGTAGATATAATGAGGTTAACTAGCCAGGTTTCTCACTGAAGAAAGGAAGTTACAAATAGAGAAAGAGATACAACTACAATAGACCCTGTGGTAGTAGATTCCAATGAAAAATATCAATGTACTAGATAGAGAGAAATAATATAGATGTAAATATGTGTGATTATAAGAATATATAAATATGTTTGCTAGTCTTTTTGTTTATATACCAATAGTAATGAGCACATCCAGTGCCCAGATTTTGGCTTCTAAATTCCCTTTCTCACAATAAAAAGGCTTCCTTAGAGAAACGACTGAGTACAGGCTGGGCCAAGAAAAGTATAATGTAAGCTAGAACATCTTGTTGTGCCATTAAGTAAAGAAATGCTCAAAGAATGATGGGGACATATCACAAAACTATCAAAGCCAACTTTAAAGGGGTCTCACTGCCTAAATCTGTAACAATTTGAACATCAAAGTAAATAATGATAAGAAAGAACTATAACCATCGAATAAAATATGGATTTATGAGTTCATAATGACTTAAGTAAATGAATAAATAAATAAGGAGAAGAGACAGATTTTCCTTGCAGCAAAATGGCAATTAATTAATGTAGAAGGAGAGATAACATTAGAAAAATCATCATTTGGCAACTATCAAGGTAATAATTAATTTGGCCAAGAAACACCAATGTATACTAAAACTAGAGGGTGAAAAATTGATGAAGATGGTTTATTTATATCATCTCAAAGTATCTCTCAACAAAATAACCATTAATTACAAAATGGAAAAGAATAAATATGCAATGGAGAAACCTGGCAGACACCATTTAATTAAGTAATATAAGTTAGCATCACCAGTAATAGGACAAATTGAAATTATGCACCATCTGAGAGGAAGCAGTGAAAACGCAGCATCATGTCTGTGATATTCCAGCCAAAAATGCATACCCTGAATTTAACTATGAGGAAACATCAGCAAATGCAAACTGAAGGACATTCTATAAAATAACCAGAGTCAGAAGAGTCAAAGTCACAGAATTTAACTAAAAATTGAAGATTAAAGAGATATAGCAAACAACAACATTGTGTAATCCTATATCTCTTTTCTATTAGAACATTATTGAGACGATTGGCAAAACATGAACAAGGTCTGACCATTAGTTGGGAGAAACGTGTCAATATTAACTTCCTGGTTGCACTGTCCTTCATGTAGGAAAATGTCTTTGTCTTTAAGAAATACACAGTAGACCCCATCTGTCCAAAAAAACAAACAAACAAACAAACAAAATTAGCCAGGCATGGTGGCGCACACTGGAAGCTGAGGTGGGAGGATTACTTGAGCCCAGGAGATCGAGGCTGTAATGAGCTATGATTGCACCATTGCACTCAAGCTGGGCAACAGAGCAAGTCCTGCCTCAAAAAAAATAAATGAATAAATAAAATAAAATAAAGAAAGAAAAAAAGAGAGAGAGAAAAGGAACACACACAAAAGGATGTGCAGGTGATGACCACGGAGCTACATGTCAGCAACTTATTCTCAAATAGTTCTAGAAAAGAAGTTATTTAAACTATTCTACAACTTTTTTGTAAGTTTTAAATTACTTTCTAAAAAAGAGAGTGAGACATATATATGAGATAACATTGCTCACCTTATGATTAGAAAAATGTGCAAAATTTCCAGCACATTCTATTGGCAAGGCTGGTAGGAATCAGTCACTGACACATTTCTGGTGCAAATGCAAACTGGCACAATCTCTATGGAGAGAAACTTTGGCAACATTTTTCTAGCAAAAGTACATATGCACTTATTTCCTAACCTAGCAATTTTACTTCTCAGAATCCGTGCCGAAGATATACTGGCGAAAATATGAAAAGACATATGTACAAAGCTTTTTATTACAGCACTATTTGTAGTAGTAAAAAACTGAGAAAATTTTTTTCAATAGAGGATTGACTGAATAAACAATGGTTCCTCCACACAAGAGAGTACCATGCAGCTGAAATAATGAATGAAGAATATCTATATATACTAAATGGTCCCTGAGAAACATAGTTACGTAGGTAAAATATACACAGTAGGAAATACAGTTAAATATGTTTGATATATCTCTATTCATCTAGAAGACAGCAGTATAAATATATAACCTGTTTTGTATATGTAATACAAAACTATGAATATTATATATAATCTGTTTATATTTTTAAATGTAAGAATAAATAAAAACCAAAATGATGATTCTAGAGAGAATGAAGACATAAGTCAGAAAGGAGAGGGATAGGAACCAGATTCCCTGGAATATCTTCTGTCCTACGGATTTGACTCTCAAACTATGTAGATATTTTCTATATCTATACAAAATAATACAAATAAAAATATGAAAAGCTAACACTAAAATCTAAAGCAAAAAGAGTGAAATAAACCTATCAAGTTGCTGGCCTAACCAACAGAAAACTATTTTGAGTGATTTTAATGAACAATGTATAATTTGGCTGTACATTTCTAACAAGATGTCACAAATGGGAAAAAAAAATTCTAAAAACATCTTAAACTGTTTTTAGGAATTATATCAATGCTGAGTGCATTGGTTTGTCACTCTGAGGTTATTATATACAATGGGATAAAGCAAAAGAGTAATCTCTTCCTGTTTTTGAGAATCAGAACTTTGGGCATAGAGATAAGAGAAACACAAGTACAATGAATAAAGTAAAGTAAAAAGCCCATAGTTCTAAACTTGAATTGGAAATTATAAGGTCAGTATGATATGAATTCTAAACTTGAATTGGAAATTATAAGGTCAGTATGACTATGAATTCTAAACTTGAATTGGAAGTTCATAATGCATTTTATCTTAAAAAACTATTTCCTAAGTATGTTTTCTAAAAAGACCTAGAAACAATGACTAACACCATTAAAATGAGTACTTGTAACATTCTCATTGAGGTTTATAGTACCGTATCTGGTACTGCTATTTCACTGTCCATTTTTACGTATGGAGATGGCTTCTTTCTTTAAACCTCATAAGCCAAACTCTGCTAGCTTCAGACTTTTCTTCTGTAGTTTTCTTACCTCTCTCAGCCTTCATAGAATTAAAGAGTTAAGGCCTGACTCTGGATTAGGCTTTGTCTTACAGAAGTGTGACTGGTTTGAGCTTCTGCTCAGACCACTACAACTTCCTCCACATCAGCAGTAAGGCTGCTTCGCTTTTGATCATTTGTGTGTTCACTTTTGGAGAAGTGTTTCTCATCTCCTTCAACAACTTTTCCTTTGCATTCACAAAGGAAACTGGTGCAAGAGTCCCAGCTTTCAGTGCATCTCGGCTTTCAACATGTCTTCTGCACAAAGCTTAATCATTTCTAACTTTATTTGAAAATCAGAAACACGTAACTCTTCCTTTTGCTAGAACACTTTTTAGAAACCAGCGTAGGGTTATTTATCGATCTAATTTTAATACTGTTGGATCTCGGGGAGTAGGGAAGCCCGAGGAAAGAGAGAGAGAGATGGGAATGGCCAGTTGGGGAACATCTAACACTGATTAAGTTTGCTATCTTACATGAGCATGGTTCATAGTGCCCCAAAGCACTTAGCATAGTAATATCAAATATCACTGACCACAGACTGCCATAACAGATATAATCACAATGAAAAAGTCTGAAGCATTTCCAGAGTTACCAACACGTGACACAGAGATACGAAGACAGCACATGCTTTTAGAAAAACGGCCGGATAGACTTGCTCAATGTAGGATTGTCAGAAATCTTCAGTTGGAAACAAAAAATGCAGTATCTTTGAAGCACAATCAAGCAAGGGGCAATAAAACAAACGTGCTTGTATATGTATCATAAGTATATCTACACACGTACTTGACTCTATTGAGGAAATCTGAACATTGCCTGTGTAACTGTTTTCAAATTATGAGGTTTTAAAAGATGTGATAAAGGAATTAAAAAGACTCTTTATATTTTAGAGCTATATGCTGAAATATTTTCAAATAAAATATAGTATCTGGGATAGTTCCAAAATAATATAGGGTGGAGAGTTAATAGAACAGATGAAAAAGAGATTCAATAGGTTGATAATTATTTAATCTGTGTGACAGGTACATGAGGTTTTATTATAGTATTCTCTCTACTGTTATATATGTTCAAAGTGTTTTATCATAAAAAGTATGGACAAAAAAATGACCAATTATATTTTTAAAAGGTAAAAATTCACTTCCAGCCAAAAGAGAATAAAAAGGACAAGAATTATCTTCCCACTGGAAACAACTGTATAAAAGATATGAAAAAATGGGTTTTAGACACTGAACATCAAACAATGAAAGAGATGGGAAACAAATAAAGGTGTTCTACATTTGCCACGCTTACTGTCTTTAAAGAGTTTCCAAGCCACTAGGCAGAGAAGGAAAACCAGACCAAGTCCAGATGACTACTGAGTTCAGAACACAAAGATGAGCATCGATAGAGATCTTGGCAGCCTGAGTTCATAGCTGGGGAGGTAACTGTTCAGGGGAGAGCCAAAAAGATCTGCAGAGGGTCTCTCCTTAATGTGAAGCAAACTACTGATCAGCACATTTACATGATGGAACTATTAGCAAATGAACAACTGAACATTTACATTTTAAAATATCATTTACAATAGCATCAAAAATATGAATTACTTAAAAATAAATCTGAGAAAAAGTGTGTAAGACCCATACACTGAAAACTGCAAAACACTGCCAAAGAAATCAAAGACCTAAACAAACGAAGCAGTGTTATATTCATAGAGCAAAAGATTGAAACATGTTACTATGTCAATTTTCCATAAATGTATCTATAGGTTCAGCACAATCCCAATAAAAATCCCAGCATTTTTTATGCCTACATCAAAAAGTCTGATAGAGCACAAATAGACAATCTAAGGTCACACCTCAAGGAACTAGAGAAACAAGAATAAACCAAACCCAAACCCAGCAGAAGAAAATAAATAACCAAGATCAGAGCAGAACTAAATGGAACTGAAACAAAACAAAACAAAACAAAAAAAGCCCACAAAAGATAAATAAAACAAAAAGCTGGTTCTTTGAAAAGATAAATAAAATTGATGGACCATTAGTGAGATTAACCAAGAAAAGAAGAGAGAAGATCCAAATAAGCTCAATAAGAAACAAAATGGGAGATATTACAGCTGATACCACAGAAACACAAAAGATCATTCAAGGATGCTATGAGCACCTTTATGCGAATAAACTAGAAAATCTAGAGGAGACGGATAAATTCCTGGAATTATACAACCCTCCTAGGTTAAACCAGGAAAAAATATAAACTGTGAACAGACCTATAACAAGCAGCAAGATTAAAGTGGTAATTAAAAAGTTACCAAGAAAAAAAAAGTCCAGGACCAGACAGATTCACAGGTGAATTCTATCAGACAGTCAAAGAAAAATTGGTATCAAACTTGTTGACACTATTCCACAGGAGAGAGAAAGAGGAAATCCTCCCTAAATCATTTTTTGAAGCCAGTATCACCCTAATACCAAAACCAGGGAAGAACATAACGAAAAAAGAAAACTACAGACCAATGTCCCTGATGAACATAGATGCAAAACTGCTCAAGAAAATACTAACTAACTGAATCCAGCAGCATATCAAAAAGATAATCCACTATGATCAAGTGGGTTTCATACCAAGAATGCAGGGATGATTTAACATCCACAAGTCAATGAATGTGATGCACCACATAAAGAAAATTTAAAACAAAATCACATGATCATCTCAACAGCCGCAGAAAAAGCATTTAACAAAATCCAGCATCCCTTTATTATTAAAACCCACAGCAAAATTGGCATAGAAGGGACATGCCTTAAGGTAATAAAAGCCATCTATGACAAATCCACAGCTAACATTATACTGAATGGGGAAAAGTTGAAAGCATTTCCCCTGAGAACTGGAACAAGACAAGGATGCCCACATTCACCACTTCTATCCAACATAATATTGGAAGTTCTAGCCAGAAAAATCAGACAAGAGAAGGAAATAAAGGGCATCCAAATCAGTAAAGAGGAAGTCAACCAGTCACTGTTCACCGATGGTATGATAGTATACCAAGAAAACTCTAAAGGCTCATCCAAAAAGCTCCTAGAACTGGTTAATGAATTCAGCAATGTTTCAGGAAACAAAATTAATGTATACAAATCGGTAGTTCTGCTATACATCAACAGTGACCAAGCTAAGAATCAAGTCAAGAATGTAACTCCTTTTATAATAGCTGCAAAATACAATAAAATA